TCAAGAAAATATACTGGTCTAACGAAACCAGTGAAAACATATTATTAGTTAGCCGCCCAATTTTATTGTTACCAGTACGTACCGAGTTATTGGTAGTACCGAGCGCTCCCAAATTGTTGCTCACCTGGTCCTTCTACCAACGATGCGGACGTCCTCTACCTTTCTAGCCAGAACACTTTCTTCCATTCTCACAACATTACCAATCCAGCGCAGCGCAGAATTTTTATGCGTTTAACTATGTCAGCGACTTTTGAAAAATTTTTCTCTCAAATGCTTCTAAAACCTTCTCATCATTGTAGGTAACCGTCGAAGATTCTGCACCATACAGCAGGACAGGCATGATAAGAGATGTGTAGAGCGTGATTTTTGTTTGTGAAGAGAGGGATTTATATCTCAATTGCCTAGGCTGACGTCATTTTTGATGCTTACGCTGTTTCCCAAATAAAAGAAGTCTTTCACAACTTCGAAATTATAATTGTCAACAGTGACGTAGGTCTCAAGATAAACAAATAAATATACATATATAAAAACTGAAAAATTGTTATTTCAAAAAGTCGCAAATAACTGACACGTTATTAATAGAAACTTCACTAAAAACAATCAAGTCAAGTCTATATACATTTGATTAAGTTAAAAATTTCAAGAGTAGTAAGCGAATCAGTGTCAATATGTGTACATATTAGTGCCTCAAATAATATATCAGCTATTTGAATATTTGATGTTCGAGAAAATGGTGTTCAAGCTGCTGAAAAATGATTAGGGTTTCAACATTTGGGGATATTTGTATATAACAAAACAAAAATAAAAGAAAAATTGAGCAGATCAGTTGTTCGAGTAGCTGAACCATTTCAACTATTCGACCGAAATATTCGAATTTGAGTATACTCGTACTGTTCAAAGAATAGACTGCTCAAACACTTTGAAGCATTTGTTTAAAAACAATTCTTGAAATAATTTTATAGTGGATGATACTTTTTGATATAGTAAAATATAAACAGTTAGAAGACCTGAATCAAAAAGAAATAGTTACTTTGTATTCATAACTTATAATGCAAATGCAAAAAAAAAAGATGTCTTTCAAAATTATATTTACCCGACATTAGTTGAAATATTAAAAAATAAAGGAGAATAAAGAAATAATTGAATTTGTGTATATATAATAATTATATAATATATAATACAGTGGACGTCCAATATAACGAATTTTATGTTGCACCCCTTGTTCGTTATATCGAAAAATTCGTAATATCGAATGTTATACATTTACCTACCAATATGGTTATTTTTAGGAGATTTCATATATTTGAGTTCATAAATTAACTTATAAACACGTACGAGTATATATTTATTTAAAAGTATTTTTTATTCGGTTGTTACAAAAATTATTTATAAGAAAGGACGCATTCAATCATAGTGTAGAGTAAAAAAAATCATTAATTTTTGTTTGTTTTTTACTACACTCAAGACTTTTCTGAATAGCTTTTTAAAAACTAAAATTTAATTCACAACGATTTAAACGTCCGCTTTGTCAAAATTAATTTTTAAATGATATTTTCAAACAAATACATATTAAATATAAACACCTTAATATGTACATATGTGTGTCTGGATAGTATTTCGTATATGATAAACTGAATTTGTGAACAACAGATCAGTGGCGCCTGCATATATGCATTTTGCCATATATAGGCATTTTTCTCAGAAAAAAAAAAAACGGACAATTACATGCATATTCTAAGCTGAATAATGCTAGTTTTATAGTAAAATTATATTCAAAAGCATAATTTGTATAAAACAAAAACGAATAAGAAACAAAAAATTTTTTGTTCGTAATATGGAGCAGAATTTTTTTTTTCGTTCGTTATATAGAACAATCAATGTAAATATTTTGGGTGTTCGTTATATCGAAAATTCGTAATATCGAGCGTTCGTTATACTGGACGACCACTGTAATTCAAAATATTTGCTCAAAACCAGAAAAAAATTGAAATAATTAAACCGAATAGACCACAAAATAATAAAATGCTTTAATATTATGATATATCTAAAGGATAGCTCCTTTAAATTATTAACAACTTAAAAGAGCTGTACACAAATTAAATGAATTATATTTTGTAATAGAAATGAATAAGTAGTATCTCCGAAATGCAAGTCACTCTATATATTGACTACTGTATTTGATAATAATAATGTGGACATTACAATATATTTTAAAATAATATGTAGATATAACTTTAATAATACCACAAGCTTATCATCTAGCAATCCCAGAAAGTCTGATTCTTTATGAATAGCAAAAAAGTGTTCACAAGCCAAATTTGTCAAACGATGTTTTTGGTTGGTAGCACAAATATTAATAGTTCGAATTGGTCAAACTGCAGATTTATGAAATGTCATGACCAAACATGGTGCATAAGAAAAATAATTCACAAATAAAGAAAGTATTAGTAAATAAAGAATCTTTTCCTCAAAGGGAAAAGATAACAAAGCAAAAGCTATTTTCTCTAATTACGAAAGTATTACGTAAATATTCTTAAGTATTAAGAATACCTCTACGTATTAAATGGCACTGCAGCAGAACAATCCACTTAGGAGAGCTATCGAAATTGTTGAATAAAACTCTATATAAAAGATATCTCTCAGTATCACGAACATATCACGTCCACAATGGGAACGCCAATGTTAAAAAAATATCTCAAGTTAATAATAAAATTATATTATTTTAAAATTTTAATTAATATTTGTATAAAAAAGGTACTCGAGTGGTTATGCTTACCCATGAAAGGACTTTAAAATGTTTAACCTTAAATTAGTAACATCGAGTATTGGATTAATAAATTGAAAAATTGAGATTTCTTCTCATAAGAAATTATTAGAGAAATATCAGAGAAATTTCCGTTTAAAGTAAATTTCGAAAATAAATCAGGATAGATATTCAAGGCAAGTAAATAAGTGATTCTTTAGTACAACCACTGGACACGTTTGATTTTAAGAATAGCAATTAATGCAATTTACAAACTGTTTACTTTCAACTGGTTTAAACATAAACTTTATAAAATATTTTGGGACTGCTCAATGTATAAAGTACCTACATTCAAATACGTTCAGAATTTTTATTTTACTTGTTTATAAATGTCGCCAAATTCGTTATTTAACTATATACTTATAGTTAACCTATATACAGGTGCAGAAAACTGGCCTGATCGGTTAGGCCATTTTTTTTTTCAACTAAACCTATGAATAGTGAAGTTTTTCCATAATTGAGGTTCGCAGCACCAGATTCGGTTTGATATTCTTAATAGAATTTAGCGTAACGTCAAGCCTGTAGAAATGTTTATTGAATGATAAATATCATATGGTGAGAATGATACATCGCTAACGATAGTCTGAAAGAACTTTTGGTGATGCTAAAATATACATTTCTCTCAGGAGCACGTATTTCGCAAAGGTCACCAAAAACATTCGGCAAATTATGTATGCGTGACTCTGACAATGCCCAAAACTAATAAAGATCTAAAATTGATCCAATTAATGTTTGCTCATGAACTGAACTTGAATGTCATGACTGTGTCGCTAATAATAATCAATCATATTAAGCGCGATGTGTTTCTCGAATTTTAACTAAAACTTAAAAAAAGGAATATGTGCATTTTGCACACAATATTTTGTTCAAAGATGAAAGGAAACGTTAAATAAAATTGTAACAAGTGATGAAGCTTGATTCTACAAATATGATATAAACACAAAGCAACATTCAATAGTATGAAGCTTTGAAGGTGCTTATGCACCCGTTAAAGCCAGGCAACAAAAGTGCCTAAAATAATGACATTCATATGTAAACTTACATCATTTTTCAATGATATTATTACTTCTGAATTTGTATGTTAGTACGTCCAAATCTTCAATTACCTACTAACTGGAGCTTTGTCACTGTCATGGTTCCATAATTATTTTCATTGTTACAGACCCATGTCATCAGTGTATTGCCAAATGACATTATTTGGCTACAGTGAAGGTAAATCACTGAAAATGTTTGGTTAATTTACTTTATAAACCAGAAAAAAGGTTTAAACTGTTATTCTTTAGATGACTTGGCAAGTGGCAACTGTTAAATTGTATACTGAAATATAGTTTCACTTTTCACAAATTTTCAAACATTCTTTTATGGTCTTCATAGTCTGGTCTTCTTTTAGAAAGTCTATAGTTTCTACATCACGATAACGCATCAGCTAACATTTCTAAAAAACGACCAATTTCATGACCCTCTCAGGGATTATATTCCCTAGAGCTAGCGCTGTGTGAATTTTGGTTGCTTCAAAAATAAAAAAAAATTATGAGAAAAGTTCTTTAGTAATATTTTGAAGATAATCAGTACAGTAAGTTGAAGTTGCACACTTAAAAAAATCCGATTCTAAGGTTTGTTTTAGAAAGTAAATCTACCGGACTTTAACAGTTAGTTGGAGAATTATATAGAGTGTCTGTTTCAAATAAGTATACTTAAATTAATAAAAATTAAAAAGAATAGTATTGAAATTTAACAATTAAAAATATAATATAATTAATTTAATTATTTTACAATGGGTTTATGATTTCGTTCTAATATAACACAGCAAGTGAATTTGTTAATGAACTTTCAAAGCAAATTAACAAAAAAAGTACGGCTTCGGAACAGTAGACCAATTAACACTGACTCTGAACTTCAAGTTTGGCAGGACAAGAGTTCAGCCCATAGTACTCAACAAATAACAAATACTCAACAAACAAATATCAAAATAATTTTAAGACCACTAATAATAGGTATTTGGGAATAATCGAAACAAATGTTTGCTCAGCCAAAAATTCTATTAATTAAAACTATATAAAAAAAAAGATTTTTGGTTGTTATAGTTCACTACTTTTCAAATCCCTCTCTATAAATTATCAATCTAATTGTACTTTAAAAATTATATTTTAAAATTTTAATTAAAATTTTTTTAATTTTAAATTTTTTCTAATTATAGATTAACTCACCGTATTCGTATCCCACGAACCTTTGAAATGGATCACATATCATTACTGGCCTTGTGAAATTGATAAAAACAAACTAAACAAAAACCAAAAAGACGCCAGTGAGTCTATAAACGCCTGCAAATATATTTAAAAAATTAAAAATAAATAATAGAAAAAAAGTTAAAAGTAAACAAAAATATTCGATAACAAAAATGCGATAAACTTTTCTAATCAACAATTTTTTGTTTTCATTTCAGTTCTGCTGACTTGACTTGAATTTCTTACTAGGCCAATGACGCCGGTCAACTACCGTACTACTATCAGGCAGAATGGTAACGTATGTGACGTCACATGAAGTGATAAAAATATTGCAAACACTCTGATAAAAGAAAGAATTTCAAAGAAAAAATTCAACAAAACAATAATGAATGAATGAATGTGCACAGTTAGGAAACAAGGTAAACAAACTCATGAAAAGAATCATGTGTTGGATTGACTGAGACTGAGACTGAAACTGGCTGAGTCTGGGTGAGAGATAACAGCACAACAGAGTTTTGTCTGGCAGTAGACAAAACTCTGTTTTGAAAACATGTAATAATCATGATAACTCATGTTCGCAGTACTCAATTTAAGTAGCAATGAACATTTTAAGATTTTGTCGAAACGTCATTTGTTAGGGGTTTCCTATTGATAAGTTTTATTTTATTATTTTCTTATATGTATATATTTTTTTTAATTTTATTCAAAATATGGTTTGCAAAGATAAGCATAGAATTTCAAATGTTCATTTAGGATAGACGAGCAGTTTATGTTTTAGCTGAAGTTTTTGATAAGAAGAAAAAAACACCGCCTACAATTAAAGAGCTCATTCTGCACATTTGCGATAATTTTTTGAAAAGGCATAAAGAACATAAAAACTGGATGAGATCGGTTCGCAATTGGAATCCGTGGAGAGATTTGTTTATGGAGGCTGAGTTCGAACAGCGATTGTAGTACCAATGCCGATACTGCAATGCTGATAAGGAACATAAACACACACAATATATTTACATATATAATTCATAATTTGTTTCATTAAATGAAGTTTTATAAAGTACATTGATGTTATGTTAGAACTTGTGCTAGGTCATAAAGAATATTTCAATATTCATTTTAAAATGTTAGATAAAAGTATAAAATTCAGATCTTAGTATAATATATATATAAAGATAAATATAATAAATATACATATACATATATATAAAGATAAATATAATAAATATAAATCAGAAAATGAAACATTTTTTAGTTTTATTATTTGTTATTAAATGAAATTTTGGCTGATCATACAGCTGTTTCGAATATTGCCAAATACCTATCATTAGTGGTTTTGGAATTACTTCTTATATTTAATTATTCGTTAATAAATTTTTGAGACTGCAAGTACTAAGAGTTGAACTCGCGCCCTTGCAAATTTGAAACTCAGAGTCCGTAGATCAGTTGGCTAATGAACACTGAGTCTAAGCTTTAAAAATTTTTGTTGATCCAATTTCACTGCTGTTTGATAAAAACCTCTCTATAAAAAATAATAGTTCATTTTAAGAATTTAGTCACTTTCGTCAAAACAAACGTTTAAAATCAATGTCATGAAAATAGAATAGAAAAAAGAATAATCATATATGATATACATAATAATAAATATATGATATTAATTTATTATTTTTGTATTTAATTAATTCTGTTAAGCAATGGGCAACATAGAGACTAATTTAAGATGATAGGGTAGAGCAATGGTTTCATAATAATAAAATTAATCCTATGAGAACGTCACAATCATTGCGTCGTAGTCCAATCGACTAAAATAGTGTTGTTAAAATAGTGTAAGAGTCGTTAAACCCACTAATGACAATGAAATGTGAAGGTCTGCCAACAATTTCTAAATCATCATATAATAAAGTATAGATGCAAGGAAGTAATCCAAAATGATATATTGCAACATAATACATCTTGTTAATTATAAACTAAATGCTTATTGTAACATAAGTATAGAAGTACAGACTTATCCCTTTTATCATTTAAGACACCCAACACCATTAAAGGAAAAGCAGCCTGAAAGCATTATACTTATATTTGTTTCACTGTTTCAGCGTTGAGTTATTGAGAGTATATCTATTGTGCTACTTTTTTTTATTTTAAACCAATTGAATAACCTTTATTTAATCATCACCGAAATTCTAAGCAAAATTGAGCCAATTCGATTAATGAACTGGTTTTATAATTACAGTATTCTTGGATATCCAACTTTTAATTTAGCAGAGATTGATTGCCTTCTTATAGTGGATCTTATGGTATTTAAAGCTCTTTTTTAATCTGGGTGAACTTAGAAAAGTGACTCTGTTCAACAAATCCGACGATAACCTTATTCTGTCTTACAGTAGTCGCGTGTTCCAAATTTCAATGATAATTTTTTTGGTTTAATATTAAACCATTAGAAACACTTTTCTTTGTGAAACTTTAATAGAACAATGACGTTGCTTCTTCTATTTAAATTACGTTTATTAAATTCACTGAATTACGAAATTTACAAAAACCAATAATACTGCCTTCAAACCCAAGACCCATTTTACTTAAACAACTACACTTTAGTTTTAAGAGTGCCTTATTCGATTGGAGCCCCTAATATTGACAAAAGTAATTTTTTATTTGTTAGAAGGGTTCGAACAGTAACAAAGAAACAACAAAAAAATTTCATTAATTTATTGAAATTTGGCTGACCATGCAACTCTGTTTCGAGTATTGCCAAGTACTCATTATCATTGATCTTAGGAAATATTCGAATTTTCACTTAAATAGTTTATAGTCCGTATATAATTTGTTGGACTGCAAGTGCCAGACTTATAACTCGAGCCTGTCAAACTTTATAGTTTTTTTAGCACAACTTATTTTGAAATTCTGGTGAATTTATTATAATCAAAATCATAAATTTATATTAGTGATTTTAAAAGAATTTAGTTGTTTTTAGTTTGTTACACATATTTGAATATATGCAGTAAGTAACCACAAAACCAAAAAAAAATGAAAACAGTCTGAAATTAGGATTGTGAGTCAACCGAACATTTTTGAGTATAAACTCTTATAACTCAATTGAAATATTACGTTTTAAAAATGTTAAATATGTCCATTTAAAATTACTACAATATAAAAAAGAAGAAAACAAAATGTGGCACTGGAGAATTCTTACTCAAACTCGCAATATCTGAAAGTAAAAACTCAAGAAGGTTAGTATTCAATTAGAACGAATAAAAGGAAATCAATATTATAGCAATGGACGACATAGTTCTAGTTTGACTGACCCTATTATTTAACCACGCGGTCAATACCGAATACTTATGTCCTGTAAATTAATTCGAAGAATTTGTTATACCAACTTTTCTTCGAAAAATGGATAAGCATAGAAAAAAAAGTTTGTTGAAGTGCTGAAATGTCATTGTTTAATTTTTCTTCATAGGTACAAAAAATTTGGGGTCTTTCTTTGAATTTATGATTTACTGAACCTACAGAAAGGAAGATAAAGAGACAACTGAATAACTCCTATGATAAATTAAGACATTTCACTATGAAAGTTAATGAATCATTAGGACATATAAGGTTGCTTTTGAATGAGATACCTATTTGCAGAACCTTAAAACCGAGTATGTAATAAATAAAAACAGCACTTATGTAACACTTTTTGAGGTAATAGCCTCTATCCCTACTACAACAAAACAACTATTATCGCAGCAAAATTTTTTATAATAATTTAGTAACAAAAAATCATTTACATACTCATAAGGACAGTAAAAAATCATCAAAAATATTTTGTAAAATTTTACTATCGAAATCCGCTGAGTTCAGAGTGACTTCAATTGAAAATTATAAACTCAAGAGATTCCAGTTATTATTCTCTGATTTGACACACTGTGTTATGTACTATACTATCCATTTTTTTCATTAATATGCAACTTCACCATTTACATTGCCTGTTGTCTAAATTAAACGTTTTCTGCAATTGTGGTAAATCGTACTTTTAATTATTTTAAAATAATATAAAATGAAATGAAGAAATAACAAAAAAATTATATTGCTCTCTAAAAAGTCTTTAAAGTTGTGTTCTATGATCAGTATTTATTTGTTTATCTGACTTTTTTGCCATAAAACCGTTTATTTCGATCAAGTTACAGAATTTATATGTGACATTTTGTATATGTATATCAATATAATAATTTTCCGACATAGTTTAGTTGTCAAGAGACTGCATTTTTTTATCAGGAACACACTTACATAGACCAGACTCAGAATCAGCCTGAGTCTCAGAAGAGAGATTATGCATATGCAAATCATTGTAGCTGCTACCAGCAATGAAAGTCAAGCGATGTATGTTGAAGAGTGATAAAAAATAAATTCTTAAATTATTTTATATTGTATGTAAAATTAAAAAAATATATTTTTTTTTTTAAATTAAACACAAAATAAATAAAATTAAAAAGAATCATTTACAATAATTTTATTAAGGCAAACTTATAAGTATTCTGTGACTGATAAGAGAAACGCCTTATATTCAACACTTTGCTGCGAAGTGACACTTCAATCCACAAGTGTGTGTACGTCTTGCATTACTATAGTTTGTGTGTATGTTCTTTACAGAAATGATTATTTACATTGCATTATCACTGCTCGGTACTATCTATCTATCTACATATGCTCTGCTCATTCCTATCCCAATCTCGATCTGCAGTCCTGATCAATTTTATTGGTATTTCTTACAAGTCATAATCGCTTGTAGCTGCAACTCTTATTTTGTGGAAGCGATAAGGATTTTTTTATTGATTTTGTTAAATGGAAATTTATGTTATTTCTCAATTTATGCGGTTTAAAAACAGAATGACTTCATAGTGAAAAAGGTCATTCATGTTTACTGAAAGTATTTAGCGATAACGAAAAATTAGATTTATTATTGATGAGAATGTCGCTAATGTTTATGCTCTCAAACTGGCACTGACACCGCAACGGTTTATATTTTATATCAGATGAAAAGTGTACTGATAGATCTAAGCCAAAAATATCACAACAAATCAAGTTTAGAATTTAAATAATATTTAAAATAAATATTTGCTTCACATTTTTTTACAAAATTTCCTTTTTATAATCCTAAATTATTTTTGTCAATAACAAAATAAAATTCTTTTCTATTAAAAAGCAATAATTATATAAAAATTTCGATAAGTCTTCTTTCTATCTTGATGTTTAAGAAAATTGTTATAAGTTTAGTTAATAAATTAACACAAAGTGTTGCAATATATGCCTGCTTTTATTCTGCAATAAAACAATAAGACTATTCATAATTCATGTGTTTGGTAACACAAAAAAATGTTGACTGAACATAACCCCTAGAACAGAGGAGTATGGTTTGCTATATATATTTTAAATCAAACAGATTAAACAGATTAATTATCCAGCATAATTCAAGATTGAGGGCAAAATATTAAGTCATTGGTAAGAAGTTCAAAAGTAATTCTAAATAAAGTTCTTTATCATGCAGATATTTAGAGGAACGAGCACGATGCTCTTTAATCAATACCTATCTCTATTACAACAATATAAAAATCTTTTCCGTTGCAGTTTTATATAATATTGGTAAAAAAAAACTGTAAATACTGTTCTGTTTGTAATCACAAAAATTATGTCAATAATACCCTATAGCCTTGGTTAGGATAACAAACCACTGTGCTTTTGCATTATTACTTCAACCTTGGCACACACACCTTGGTACAAGAGTTGTTATGATGAGGAGAAAGTGGCAATTATCAATCATTTTCTATATCTACAAAAGCTGTAGTGTAAGGCCCTTTATTTATAGAACTGGCAGAATACACCCAAGAAAAATTATCAGATCTCGTTAACTCTATTTGAAAATCAAATAAATTAAACACGATAAACGGACGCATTAAGTTATATTAGAATCTATGACTAGTGTAGCACTATGGCTAGTGTAGTGTAGTTATTGTAGTATGGCTAGTGGCTAGTATAAGTGGACAACTCCACACTTAAATGGCAACATACGCCCTTTAAGGCTAACCTAACCATTGGTCTATTGAGTGATATGAATTTCGTAGATTCTTCTATGAAGTAGAATCAAGCTAGAAGGTAATGAAATACTAAAAGTGTTTTATAGAATAGTATAAAGCTTTTAGAAAATGAATTGCTATAATTTCTTCTTGATAAAAGTTGTAATTTAACGTCAGTTTAAGACGGAAGTGACTATTATATTTAATAAAAACTAACATATTTAGTAGAGAGGTTTCGAAAAGTAGTGAACTACAACAATAAAAATTATTATTTTTATATTATTTTAATTAATTGAATCTTTGGCTAACCATACAGCTGTTTCGAGTATTGGCAAATATCCATCATCAATGGTCTTGGAATTATTTCTTATATTCAATTATTCGTAAACAATTTTTTTATTTATTATTTTATTAATATAAAATATTTATTTTATTTTATTTTATAATTTATTAATTATTTTATTTAGTATTTGTGTCGAATACTTTGAAAGTATGTAAGCTATTCGATTAGTAAATCTATTTCAAGTTTTAGGAAAAAAAACGCCAGCTAACTGGATCAAAATAATTTAATCAAAAAGAATAACAACCAAAAAATTATGTCGAAAACCAATTTGATTACTAAAAATTGTTAAAAATTTTCGAAGTATATAGTTTACTTTAGTAAGTTTATATATAGTAAGTTTATATTATATATAGTTTACTTTAGTAAACTATATAAAGCAAATTTTTTAACTTATAAAAAAGTGTCTGTGCGTGGGCAGGATTTATGTTTCTTGATGATATATTTATATCCTATAAATATTTATTACAATTTTAAATAATACTTTATATAAATAAAATAAAATAAAATATAAATTGATAAATCGGCTGTAGAATTACGTTGTATTATATATAAACTGTTTTTTAAATTTAAATAATGTTATAATATGTATTAATAATCTTTCATAAATAAAAATCGCTAAATTGTCACTGTACCAATTTGTATTTGAAAAATTAGAAAAATATCTTAATTATTATTATATATTAAAATATGTTATATATTAAAATATATATATTCTGATCACAAAATAATTTTTTTAAATTAATTGCTTATGACTGCCATCTGCTGTCATTTTTATCAACATTATTGAAATTTGAATTCATATTCATGCCATCTACCGTCAGTTTATTAAAGTAATAACCAAATGTCATTCGACCAAATTTATGACATTTGACTAATTTGAGATTGAATTGCTTGGTGCATTTCATATGTTTAGAAGTTCAAGTGCCACAAGTGATTTTTATTTGTTACTAAACATTATAAAATTATTATAAAATTTAAAAAAGTATTACAAAAAATGGAAGAACATAAATTTATTTTTCGGCGGGCAGAAATCGATGACATGAAGCCAGTTCGCGAAATGATACAGGTGAGTTATTTCGTAAATATTGAAAATTGATATCAAGAATAATAAAGTCGCTACACATATAACCGGTAATAACAGTTTATGAGAAACATAAAAATCTTTATTAGCCAATCACATATTGAAAATATTGAAAATTGATGTCAAGAATAATAAAGTCGCTACACATATAACCGGTAATAACAGTTTATGAGAAACATAAAAATCTTTATTAGCCAATCACATACATTTTGATTAAGTCTATTAAATGTTTAAAATTATGCCGCTATAAAAAAATTTTTAATAACAGCGGTATATGGTTTTTTTATGAAAAATTTGACTTTATTTTTGGTTCCTGATGCAGTTTCACACGAATACCCTAGCATAAACATTAATTTCGCATAAAAAATTGAGTTGAAACTCTATATAAAAAATTTTATGCATTGTCAACATTTTGTAAAACAGCTTTGGATTATTTTATTCATTTTTAGTACTAAGCTTATTGGTTAAAAAATTATAGTGATTGTACTGGAAAAATAAACTGAGAAAAAAATTCTATTTCTAAAAAGGAGGGTTTGAATTGCTGTGACTATTTTCTAGCATGGTTGAAATTTTCAACCGTTCTACATATTATTCTAATTTATAAATAATTTCAACTCAGTGAATAATACAGTCATGATTAACTGCTGACTGATTCAAATAATAACAACCAACTTCTCAGAAAACTAATTTACTTTAATTTACTTATTAAGTATGGTATATAGGATTTTTTTTGTATAATTATGCCATATGTTTGATTCAAAATCTATACCATTTGAGTTATTTGAATGGGCGACTTATAGTATGATAGACCAGTCCACTGACTTCGATAGACCAGTTAACTTACTTGAGATTCATGTAATTCAAGCAATCTCAAGTAAGTTAATTGGTCTAACGAAGCCAGTAGAAATATACTATTAGGAAACTTCTTTTTCACAACTCTTTGGTATATTTCTATACGGCTTTTTATCTCAGTTATTTTATTTTAACCTGTAAAACTGATCTAGTTTGGCAGAAAAGTTTGATATACATGTCATACATGTAATTCCTTTCATGTTATCTGCCCTGTAGATCCCAACGGGTTATCACAACAACAACAACAACAACAACTAGTTCATTCGTCGTGACAATAATTTCTATACATTTATATCTCCTGCGATCTCTTACGTCGTAGTGTGATATATATTATGTACAAATAGTATAATATATTGATTTATTTATTTATAATTAGTATATATATATATTAGAGTAATAGAATAATAATTTTCTGATTTGGAAATTAATAGAAATCATTTTAATCAATCATTTAAAATCAATTAAATGATAAAATGATATACAGAAATTGGGAAAAATTGAATTTATTAGGTACTTTTCCGATGGCTTTCTAGAATTTCTTTGAAAGCAAATTTTAACCCAGACATCCTCAAGGTCTAAATTAATTATTTTAGTAAATATGAAAAATATTATAAAATAATTACTATTGTTAAATGTTTACTAAAAACTTGTTCTGAATTTGATATAAATACTCGTATATTCAATTTACTACAGGAATTAGCAGATTTTGAAGAAATGAGTGATGGCCCAGAACTTACTGAGGAGGGTAAATATATCCAATAAATACAAAGAGATTCCCTAAAATAACATATAAATATATATACACATTAAAGATTTAATACGTGATTCGGGACTTAGTGGTGGCAAAGAATATTGCCATATTTATATTTTAGAACTTGAAAAAGGTGTTAATAAATCAGAAACGTGAGTTTTTAATAAAGTCCATATATAAATTAAAAGGTTTAAATTTTTTCTGCATTTTCAGTATACCTATTGGTTATTCCATTTGTTTTTTCGCCTTCTCAATGTTTCAATCTATACGTACATATTTTCTAGAAGATCTTTATGTACGTCCACAATATCGTGGCATTGGTGCTGGAGCTTATTTGTTTCGAAAAATTGCTTCAAAAGCTAAAGAATACAATAGTGATAGCATGGATTTTCATGTATTAGCTTGGAATCCAGCTCGAAAATTTTATCAAAAAATGGGTGCCATAAATTCAACTGAAACTAAGGACTTACATTTTTACCGTTTAACGGAACCACAAATTGAAGCTTTAGCAAGGAAATTATAATATTTATTAAGTTCGCTTACTGCTATTTATGATGCAATATGTATATATGGCTAATATAAAGTATTATGGAATAAAGTTTTTCTAATAAAAAGTACTTATATCTCTATAATAATGTTTTTTATTTACGATAATGTCAACATAACATAGTAAAAAAAGTTGCTCAGAATAAGCGACTCTGCTTAAATTCGTTATCCAACCTGAGCGTCCCAAAAATAAGAATCGTACACATATATTTCATATACTCAATATTTAGAGAAGCCTCATTTTCTAAGTATATTGCTTAATAAAGAGAAGTTTCCTCTTTAGGAGACAGATCATTTCTACCGCCAGCTCTAAAACAAGTAGTGGTGTAGGCAGTGGAGTTTTCTCAAAGGGACTGAATAAATATACTTATAGGCTTTCTGATAATTTCAGTGTTTTTCAACCGGAGGTGATTATTATTCTGGAAGCTATATCTTTTCTGGAAGTGAATAATATATATAATAGGAATATACACATACTATCAGGCAGTCAAACTTCAAAGCCTGTGAATTCAGTCCAATTTACATTCAAATTTGATTGCACATTTCTAAACGAAATTTCGACGTTTAGACGCATCAAATTACAAGTAATCACTCGGAATCGAAACTCCTAAAAAATCTAAACATATTGTTGATATTATGCAAACTATTATACATTGACTACGTTCTGTTTAGAAGAAATCCGGTACTCTAATTGACATAAGTCAAAATCTGTCCAAGTAACATTTATTACAAAACGTTCTACGTGCCCGCTTGTCTTAATAAACAATACTCAATTACCACAAGCTGTCGAAAAAAAATACTTGGGCATACATCTGAATAGTAAACTAACTTGGAAACCACACATATTTAATAAGCGTAAAGCCTTGGGCCTCGAATTGCGAAAATATATTTTGGTTCCTCAGCCGGAACAGTTTGAAATTTCTGAGGAAATTCTAAACTGTCACTAGACAATAAGCTGCTTATATACAAAACTGTACTAAAACCTAGGTATATGAAGTTATAAAGCCCAATTATGGGGTACTGCAGCAGACTCAAACAATTATCCAGCGTTTTCAATCTAAAACACTACAAATGATCACAAATGCACCTTGGTATGTAACGAATGAACAGCTGCATAAAGAACTACGTGTTCCGACAATCAAGGAAGAAATATCACGAATTACATAGAATTACGCTCATCGCATATATATGCATCCAAACCCACTGGTTACACACCTGATGTCCCCCTCTAGCACTTTTACAAGGCTAAAAAGAAAAACATCGAGAGACGTTTTAAATATGTATGTATATGTAGGTCACACATTTCTATTTTAATTATATATGTATTTAATTATATATTATATAATATGTCCAGTGATATATAGTCCAATCGCGCCTTTCTTTTTTTAGATCGTAATAACTATTATTACGATTCATGTTAATATATATTACTTATTGTCATTCATACCTGGCAGATTGTAAAAAAATAAGTGGATTAAAAAAAATTAACATGACCATGCTAGAAGATTGAATCTTTTTCAATCATTCGTGACACAGTTGTGGAGAGGTTTCCAAAGGTTTAGGATGGTTTTTAAACCTTTTGAGTTTTGTTTTATACACAATAGACCAATATGTTTAAGTAGATCCTTTAGATCACAAGCATAATCTAATCCAATTGTAATTTAAAAAACAACATGGTCCCAGCTAAGCACCTGTAAGATTGTCATAATTTACTAAAATTATTAATAAATAAATTAAAAATGTTGAACTGTGTATGGATTACCCTGTCAAATTAATTTATATTCTTTAGTATCGCCACAGTTAGTTAGAGAAAAAATAATTTGATGGTATAGGTAGACTAGTGGGACGTGAACATAAACGTTTACAAAACCTTTTCAGTTCCTTTGTTCATGTAACCATTCAGTACTCTATTAAACTAAACTTATGTTAAAGAGACAGGTAGCAGTACTAAAAAAACAAAATATTGAAAAAAAAAAAAGAAAATAAAATAAAAACTGGAAAAGTATTAGTCAAGTGCACTAAAAACACGAAATAAAAATGAAATAAATATTCTGTAGGAAACCTCTTTTAAAAATTTTTCAATATAATATAACTTTTCATATAATTCGAAAATAAGCAGTAGCCGAAGTGCCCGAAGTAATTTCTTAAAAAAGAACAACTGCTTGCTAGCAATACTAAAACAGAGAACGAAAATGCTAACTAACTGCGCTAAAAAAGCGGAATGCCAAAGAGAATGCTAACTAACTGCACTAACAAAGCGGAAACAAAATAAGTTCACAAAAGGTATCTGTAAAAGATCTCTGCAATTATTGTTTTCTGTCTTTTTTATTTCTTGACCAATGTCTTCTTTCTTAAAACATTTATTAAATAAATGTAGAAATTTAGATATTTAAAAAAGTAATATATATATATATATGATTGTGTGTGTAAAATGTATTAAAGTTTATAAATTAAAACTTTGTTTTGATTTCAGGATCTACTTGAATTTGAAAATAATGCTCCAACAGTAACTGAAGAAGGTAAATATATATATATAGTTATATAAGAAATTTAATAAATTAGTTAATACTTTATAAACTATTTTTTTTAGTTTTAAGTTCTTAAACACACTATTTTGTAAATGATCATACTGTAATACAAAATTTCTATATAGGTATACATGAGAGAGTACGGCTACATGATTGTTAAGTATATTAAGTATATAAATATTATATGTTAAGTATATTATATAAGTATATCATTGAAAACAATGAATGTTTTAACTTTTTTTAAATATATTTAGAATAAAACCAAAACAATTTTATTTCCATAAACTGTAAACAAAAAACACTTAGTCTGAATACATCACTGTTTCTAAAACCTGGCTTGAAAATCCTTTTAATCCTTGGGGAGTCTAATAAACAGAAAACAATAACACAAGTGGCGAACTTAAGTGTAAATAAAAGAAAATAAATATAATATTGAGATAAGCATTATGTAAATATAGAAAATAAAAACAGTATATAATCGGATCCAGTTTCAGAAACCACCGCTAATTTTTGCGAGTGCTTCTCTCATATACTCTAATGTAATGTAACGTAATGTGAATTTCATTTAAATAATAGATTAATAAATATTTAATAATAAATGAACACTAATAATAATAAATATATAAATAATTAAAATATATATAAGAATCTATTTAATGAGCGTACAAACAAAATCAATTTTTTATAATAATTTTATAATAGTTTATAATAAATATTAGCTATTTTAATTCAAATTCGATTTAAGTTTAATAATAAAAATATTATAAATATTTTATATTATATTATATATTTTATATTATATATCTTTAATATTATATATATTTTACATTATATATATTTTATATTATTTATATTTTATATATTTTTTATTATATATAGTTTTTATTATATATGTTTTTTATTAAATTTATTTTATATTATATTATGCATATTTTATATATATCAAAATGAACATCAAGATATTTTTTACTAAACTATAAATATTAATTATCATAGGTTTAATTAAGGAGTCTGGTCTTGCAGGAGGTGATGAACGGTGTCATATTTATATATTAGAAATTGAAAAACCTGAAGGCTCAGAACCGTATGTATTGCACTTGTATTTTAAAAATTGATAATATATACATATTTAATAATATATAACCAATAAATATTCATATATCTATATAGTCTTATATCAGCTTTCATATATTCATATATTTATACAATAATATTCGAACTCGCATTTATATACATTAAAATATTCCCATTAATATTTTTGATATTCAAAAAAAATTAATAACCATCGAAAAGGATTTAAGCCAAGATCAACTGCCTGTGCAGGCAAAGATAGCAGGCTTTTAAATTACAAGGAATACTAAACCAATAGATAAAGTTATATTAAAACAATATTTATTTTATAATATCACACTGCAAAAGGCGATGCGATATGACCGAATAGAACTAAAATCTAAAATAAATTATCAGAAGTACTTACAGATACTATATGAGATATGAGAGAGAGATATATAGAGCTCACAGATGCGTCAGAAGAATACACTTAACAACATTTTTAAAGTACAATCCTGAAGAATAAAAATCCAACTAAGAATGCGGGTAAATAAAAATATTATAAACAATATTACGAGCGACTGGCAGACATTAGCGAGTGATATAAGTAAATTAGGGAGGCACCTTAAAATGACTAAGGTTCAATCCACTGATCAGAATGATGGTGATATGATGATGACAATTACAATAATTATGAAGATGATTCATATTCATACTCATATTCACTTTTAAAAATAAATCATATTTTAAAATAAATAGAAAATTATAAACAAAAACAAAAAATTGCAAAAAAAGTAATAAAAAATTATAAAATAGAAAAAAAAATGATAAAAAAAAACAAAAAAAATTTACCTCTATTTACAGTATAGCCATTGGATACGCTATTTGTTACTTTTCATATTCTACATGGCAAGGACGAACCTATTTTCTGGAATATCTTTATGTACGTCCAGAATATCGTGGCATTAACGCTGGAACATTTTTATTTCGAAATGTGGCAGCTAAAGCAAAATTTTATAACTGCAAACGTCTTGATTTTCATGTAAAATCAACATTTCCTTCACGAAAATGTTTTGAAAAAAATGGTGCCATCAATTTGACGGAGGCTGAGGAATGGCTTTGCTACACCGTACCGCAAAATCAATTACAAATTCTTACAGAAACACTATGAAATGTAGAAATAATTTATTAAATAAATTTACATATTAATTTTTTTAATAATGATAATAGTAATACACTAACAATAATATATTTGATATAACAATATATAATAAAACAATAATTATAAAAATAATACTTGCATTGATTGGATTTTTAATATACATAAATAATTATTATTGAGCTTAATGAAAATTGGAGTACACATCCATTTTGTAGAATTTAATCACATAGGCATGCCTTTATTGTTCTCCATTAACACTGGCAATAACGTAAATTTGCATGCTTTTCGTAGAATTGTAGACTTGGCCAGGTGGAAAAGGGTCCGCCTTTGAATGTGTATCAGTTTTATTTTTACCGCCAGCAGTATATTTTGATAATCGTATGCTAGGCATTGGTAGAAAACCAGTGCTAAGCGGCATAATATCTAAACAAATGGAATGACTATCGACATCTTTCATGGATATGACACCTATAAAAAAAAAGTTCAATAAATTTTTTAAAATATTAGTTTTGTTTGTTTAAAGCTAAATTTTACTTTTAAAACTACGTTCTTTGAAGCAAAGACACCGACAAATGTAAAATCCCTTCTTGAGAATAGGATTCCCTTCTGAACTTGGAGTGATTTCAATTAAACCTCACCCATCCACGATTCACCCCTACTTCCTTATATCCCCCTAGATAAACCATTACCTATTCACTTTCTTGTCCATGTTTCATTTTGTAAATCCTATCATCTTATCTGGTTTCCAAATTCCATCGGGATGCAACCATAACAACGAATGTAAAATAATCAGACATACTTTTTATTCTAAAGTTATAAATTTCGGTCTAAATGATTTCTACTTAACATTTAATATATCTACCTACCTAAATTTACCTATATCTATATCTATCTAGACCTCTACCTACCTAATTGTCTATGTAGAAATAAAATCGCGTTTCTGACAGGACTAGCCAAAGTTAGACCAATGAAGTAGATAAAGTCGGCTCACATACATACACAATCATACTAATAAACCAGGAATATCATCCATACTACAATACTATATTATACAATACCAGCTTTTAATACATTATACAATATATTATTACTAAAACTTATATGGACTCTACTAGATAATGTTGTTCACTAGCACACTAATCTATATCATTATATCTTTAATTTTGCCTGCATAAATAACCATTCGTTCTTTTGGACTATTAAGCGATATTCACTCCGTTAATTCAGCTCCTACATGTATAGTTCTATAATAGCCCAATTTAAATATTAGCTTACACTTCTTTCAAATACCATAATAAGTTTTTCCTAAAAATTTGTTCAATAATCTTTCAATGTTTTATTTGATTGGCATTTATTTTCTAGAAAAATTTCCTCATAATTAATATTATGTTTAAGATAAGTGCTTACGATAACATACCTGCAGAGCTTCCGCATACTGCCCACAAGTTCTGATCATTTACAACTTCATACATAAGATCCACAAAAGGATTTTCGTGCACTTTGGTTATTTTCAGATTTAAACTGCAAACCGAGCGTATACGACATAACTCTTTTGGTTCCAGTTGTGCTTGTATGTTGAATAGAGTTATATAATCCACTAAATCAAAAGCGCATCCATGATCCCTATAAACTTGAGGTTTGTCTACATCTGCATATTTAATTGAAAAATGAACTTTTATAAGCGCAAGTTCCATTTCGGCTTGCAATGGTTCGACTTTTATTTCGTACAGATATGAGACAGTGAGAGATTTATAAATTTCCTGCTAGAAAAAAAATAAGCTCTGTAAATACAAACTCATATAAAAAAGAATAAAATGGATTTCTATACGCACAATTTGTTCCTGCATGGCAGGATTTAAATCGATCAAACGTACACCAGAAACATCACATTTAACTTTTGGTTCAGTTAGAAACAAATGCCCATGTAATCCTTTAATAATGACCTGTAGGAATTTTTGTGTGTCACATGTATGAAGCCTGCATGTAGCCTCCATTGCAGGTTGAAATTCAATGCGACTTTGAAACTCGTTACGTGTCCACGGACAACTAAGTGAAATGCGATGTTCATAGAGCTTAGTCACTTTACGTCCCGGTAAATCGGCGATTACTTCTAAAGGTATTTCCCGCTCTTCAAATGACTTAAAATTGGGCAGTGGCACATTGAGTACACTGTCAAATTTTTCAGCAGCATTCTCATTATTATCAGTGAGTGGATTTATATCAAGCGGTGTCTGTATATCTGCTTTTACAGCTGTGGAAGACGCTAAACGAATTTGCATATTTTTTGTACATTTTAAAGTAATTTTGGCATCTGGTGGAAATATAAAACTGCCACCGGAAACAATTAGTTTCATTGGCTGGACTATACCGGCGATAAGAGTTTTGAAATCTAGAACCGCCTTGGCAGGCTTTGTGGTGATTTCAAAGGTCGGCAATTTAAAAGGTATTTGCTCTGATAAAAATTGCAACTGCGATATGCCAAGACAGAACTAAAGAAATTAAATTTAAATTAAAATGTTGATAGGTTATCAAAATAGTTTTAGGTTCCTATTTACCTGCTTTAAGTCCCAGGTACCTACACGTGTGGCTTTTCCTCTTAATTCTATAATATTTATACCAGGTTTAAGTGATAAATTTTCTGTAGCAACAAAATTAGAAAAATCCGACTGCATGCTTGGCGATAGTTTGCGTTTTGTACTGCTTGTACGTCTGACTGGCTGCTTCATCTTTGGTGTACCACATGCCACTGAAGCACAAGCTAAATTGTTATCCTGCTGATAGTCTAAATGCAGCGCAAACTTTAAGCGCGATTCTTTAGCTGAAGGGGCTGGAGTATGTGCTGTACTTGCATTGTGCGTGCTTAAGTTCGCTACTTGTACAGCTTCTCCAGCAATAAGTGGTGTTACATGCACTTCATAAGATAGTTTAAGTGTTTCTGCTACTATTTCGCGCGGATAGAGACTATCTAATTTCACCTGCACAATTATATAGTCGTCTTGTATTATTGACTTGGCATTTAGTACGTCAATATCGCATATACGAAAATGATCTTCCAGAACACAAAAATTGGCATTTTCCAACGACGGCTGTGCAGATAGTGAGCTTTTTAAAGATTTTGCAGATTTTAGAAACTCGTCGTAGTAAAATGTGCGCACCAGCATTTCTAGCTCTTGACAGCAGGATATCGAACTGCACGTTTTTGTATAGGCAAGGGAATCACCCATTTTTCGATAACAATTCGCCAATTCTAATAAAGTTTGCGAACTCAATGCATACCAATTTTCTGCTTTCAATTCACGTAGCAAATCCGTAAAAAAACCCACAGCTTTATGTGGTTCGTTGAGTGCACAATAAAAATTACCCAAATCTAAACCTACTAAACGTGCTGAACGAAGACGTGAAACATGTTTGTAGGTGCTTATAGCTAACTCAGCAAGTTCGAGGTATAACTTTTGGAAAGCTTGATTTGAACCTAAAGCTTCTTTAAGTTGTTCAGTGGCACATTTTTTTGGACGTCTATTTGGCGAACGGTCTCGCTGTTGTTGAGAAATTTGTGGCGTTGGATCGGGAAACGGCGTTTGATCAATGGGTATATCTCCGATACCTGAGGACAACTGCACTACAATATGTAGCTGTGCAGATGTGGGTGTATAACCTGGTAGAAGACCGCATAATTTACCCAATTCATAAAGTTTATCTTTAGCTAAATTCCATATAGGTGCACAATGTTGGAAGCAGTCTACTTCGTTTGGTTCCATGGCTTGCTCACATAACTGTAATACCTCTAAAGCACAAACGAATTCCCAACAAGACAGAGAACCCTCTTGCAAATCTAATTTAATAACATCTACTTCACGTAGTGTAGTGAAGAGAAAATTCAGTAAACGTTTTGCTATACCGGGAATGTCATTATTTTGTTGCAACAAGTGGGCTTGTCTCTCAAATAAATAATTACGAAATTCGAGTATAGATACAGACTCTTCTTTAATTTTACCACGCATTTCGAATTTATTACGCCTTGATAGAGAAACACCATGAAATGAAGTTAGAGGGCGTCTAAATGTATCAAGCCATTTGTGTTTCTCACCAAAACCTGAATTTGTTACATATTGTGAAAATATAGCATCTAATTCATCGTATTGTATTAGTGCTTCTGTGTAAAGTTCCAATTTCTCAAACACCAACGCTAAATCTTCTTGCATAAAGAAATATTGCAAGAAATCCCAACCATGGTGGTTACGTTTCTCACGTTTTGTGCGTATGAGTTCTTCATATTTGGTAATGTTGCGATTATAGCTCGTCAACATTAAAAATCTAATTAATTATTAAAATAATAACAATAAATAATATCAATAAATAAAATGAAATAATAGAGTAACCTTATTCGTTGTACTAAACAGCGAAATGATTCCATCGATTTTTGTTTTGCTGGATTTAAAACGGAAATACAACGATCATCATTTTTTGTGGCAAAATCCAAACGTATTTTATCCAAGACTGTGGTACGTGGTAATAAATTTTTCGTTTTTCTTGTATCTAACGTTTCCACAAGTAGAATCATCCAATCCGTTATACCAAATGATGTCAATGTTTTCAGCCAATTTTCGATTTCTAATCTCGTTGACGCTTTATAAGCATCAATATCCTAAAATTAAATAGTTATATATCATTAATTGTGTGACAAAACTTTAACTCACATTGCATTCTGTGACGAAAATATGTAAAATTGGATGTTCTACTATACTCCATTCGCCTTTTTTATATTTTTCAAGTGCAGCTGCATTAAATGGTTGTGTTTGCGCTTCTAAACGCACTAGTTTAGGTGGCCTTTGTAATGTTCTACGCCATTCACAGGTGTCCAATGGTATTGCGTTTAATATATGAGCTTCTAATGAACGAAATAATGGCCCAGAACCTGAGTCTGCAATACAAATAAACATTTTACAAAAAATACTATCATACAATCATAATATGAATTAATTACATGTAATAATTGGTTTTATATTCATTATTGCTTGAATTTATTATTTTGTTTCGAGATTATAAAAAACAAACAATTTCACTCAAAAGCACCAAAAACAATGTTTGCAAACAACAGCTGATCAAACTTTCATTCCCTTGATACATACAAAGTAACCGATTACTTATTACAATAGCTGAATGCCAAAGTAGTCAGTACCAACATACATAGAAATGTATGTTTTAAATGTTTTCAAATTTTTTAATGTTACTATGATTTTTTTTATTGTTTTGCATTGTAAAATGTGACAATTACACATATGACAACTTTAGTATTGCTTTTATTTAAATGCAGCAGTTTATTTTATATATATATATATTCCATAAGATAAAAAATTGATAAACAAATACAAATTTTTGTTTACAGACAAATGTTCGAATAAAATTATAATATAAAAATTTTGTCAAAATCTATAAAATGTATATGTTCAGCTAATCCTATATATTTATGACATCATATTTTATATGGTGTGACGAAATAGTAAATCGTTCTAATTAATATAATATAAAAAATGAATCGAAGCAATTAAAAGCATAAATCAATTGTTCAATTATATAACATACATCTCGATAAAATTTTTAGATTTATTTAGTTTGTATACTTTTGATGCACCTTTATTATTTTATTTTATTTGTTTTATTATATATAAACAGAGAGCAAAATTCAAATTAACAACAACTAGTCAAATGGGCTAACAAGAAATTTTTTGTGTTGTATTTAAATTTAATAATATTTTGCATATTTATAGTCTTTCTTTAATTTACTTATAATTTTATACTGCATTTTCACTTATATAAATAAATTACTAAATTTATTTCGTAATTGCATATACACCATTTTGGTTACTGGTTACTTAACAGCTGTTTAAGTTAAATTATTGAATTGAGGCCACCCACAAGTGTCAAAACGCTAGAATTAACTAAACATGAGAAATGAATTTTGCAAAAACTAACTAAAAACTAATTAATAGTTAAAAAGTGAAAATAGCTAACATACATTTGTTTTATTACACTTAATTTTAGAAATTCTATGTACCTATAGTAATCATTCCAAAAACAAAAAATGGCCAAAAGTATTTTTGGCCATAACAAAACTGGCTACGTGGGTCGTGAAGAACATACGGTAACATATAACATCATTCAAACAAATAAAAATTGGAATATATGAATAAACATTTGACAAATCTTATTTTAGAAGAAACTTCAGACACTTTATTCAGAGGATGACATGGATGAGTTGCCCTCTATGACAGAGGAACTGAGCGTTGTAGATGGTTTACGTCCAAATCCTGGTGGTCCATTTTCGGCACTAACACCTTCAATGTGGCCACAAGAGATACTTGCAAAACTTGGACAACCGGAAGCAGATGTAGGCGGACTAAACGACCAACCAGATTATCGTTTTGATGAATTTGGTTTTCGTGTTGAAGAGGAAGATGGCCCTGAACAAAGCTCAAATAAATTATTGAGTATACCTTTCGCAGAAGATCCACAACAACGACTACAATGGATAGCGCATTTAGAATTTTCTCATAATAAAGAGGCCAGTGAGTTGACGTGGGAAAATGTAGAAGTTGTATTGCCACGAACAGAAAAATTACGAAATATGGTACGTAATGGCATACCAAACTCATTACGTGCACAAATGTGGATGCGTCTTTCTGGTGCGTTGGCTAAAAAACAAAAAACTGAAACAAATTATCAAGACATTGTTAAGGGTAAACTACATTTGTTTCAAAGTGTGATATATATTTATAATTTTATTCGTTATTATAGCTTCCAGTAATGATCAACTTATGACCTCAAAACAAATCGAAAAGGATTTATTGCGCATTTTACCCACAAATGCTTGTTTTAGTCATCCAAATGGTACTGGCATACCACGTTTACGTCGCATTTTACGTGCAATCGCTTGGCTCTTTCCAGATATAGGTTACTGCCAGGGCACTGGAGTTATTGTAGCTTGCTTGTTATTATTTATGGAAGAAGAAAATGCTTTTTGGATGATGGCAACCATTGTAGAAGATCTACTCCCTGCTTCATATTATTCATCAACTTTATTGGGTATTCAAGCTGATCAACGAGTAATGCAAACACTTATAGCAAACTATCTGTCTACGGTAGATGAAACTTTAAAAAAACATGATATCGAATTATCCTTGATCACATTACATTGGTTCTTGACGGTTTTCGCAAATGTGGTGCACATGAAAATATTAGTACGAATTTGGGATTGGTTTTTCTATGAAGGCAGCATAGTGCTGTTCCAGTTAACATTAGGAATGTTAAAAATAAAGGAAAAAGATTTACATAATTTGGAAAATTCAGCACAAATCTTTAATTCATTATCTGATATACCAGGAGAAATAGATGATGTTGAGGTTTGTGCTAAAATACTATTAAAATGAGTTCATTTAACATTTATGTATTTTTAATAGGTGCTTTTCAAACAAGCAATGGAAGTGGGTGGCTCATTGAGCCAAACTGTTATAGATACACATCGTCGACGTCATCTTGCTTATCTCATGGCTGACCAAGGTGGTCTTGTGCCTTGTAATTCCGATGCTGTACCAAATTTACCGAAGCAACATTTAGCGAGGCGGCAGGTACGCAAAAGCAAATCCATATTGGAAACCTTGTTGTTTCGTAACGATAATGATTCAGATGAGTTGAAAAATAAAAACATACGTCAAACTGAAATATTAGTGGATTTACGAGAGGCTATACTTAAAGTTGCACGACATTTCATAACCATCGAACCAAAACTTGCAGCGCACATACAATTGACAGCGAATTACAGCACCGATTCACATGCTAAAGATCATGAGAACTTTATAAATGTAGCACGCACTCGTAAGCGACGCGCTAAAGCATTGCACGATTTCGAGCGTCATGATGATGATGAGCTGGGCTTTCGCAGAAATGACATAATAACGATAATCAGTCAAAAGGATGAGCATTGTTGGGTAGGTGAACTAAATGGATTACGTGGTTGGTTTCCAGCAAAGTTTGTAGAACTTCTTGATGAGCGTAGTAAACTATATACTTCAGCTGGCGATGATGCTATATCAGAAACTGTAACAGATTTGGTTCGTGGTACATTGGCACCAGGAATTAAAGCATTCTTAGAGCATGGTATGAAAAGACCATCATTTTTAGGTGGTCCGTGTCATCCTTGGTTGTTCATCGAAGAGGCTGCTACACGTGAAGTTGAAAAAGATTTTGAATCAGTTTACAGTCGTTTAGTGTTATGCAAAACTTATCGACTCGATGAGGATGGCAAAGTTTTAACACCAGAAGAACTTTTATATCGATGTGTACAAGCAGTAAATCAATCACACGATGAAGCACATGCACAGATGGATGTAAAGTTACGTTCACTTATTTGTTTAGGATTAAATGAACAAGTTTTACATCTTTGGTTGGAAGTGCTTTGTTCATGCCCTGATGTTGTACAAAAATGGTATCATACATGGAGCTTTATAGATTCGCCGGGTTGGGTTCAAATAAAATGTGAATTAAGAATATTATCACAATTTGCTTTTAATTTGAATCCGGATTTTGAATTGCCACCAAAGCGTGGTAGAGAATCACAACCACTTAAGGACGGAGTGCGTGATATGTTAGTCAAACATCATTTATTTTCATGGGACTTGTAAATTTTTATGTGTAGCTAAAGCAGTTAAAAATGCAAGAAGCTGAAAATAGTATATAAATACATATTAATGTACATTATACATATTAGACATATATATTTATACCAGTATATGATATACATATAATATAATACCAAGAAATAGTATGGTTACTACGTTATATTACAATTATTTCAACTATGACTGCTGCTTTTCTAAACACAATAGATATATGTTCTGCTCTCAGAATTCAAGAAACCACCTTGGTATAAACTTCACCTCTATGTATGCAACTCGATAGATAAATCTCAGTAAGACTTAATTAGTCATTGTTTTCTTAGTAAGCTACCATCATTGGAGTCTATTATAACTGTATATGACGGAAATCAAATTGTGAATAAGGAGTATTTACTGAATCTTCATTTTATTGGGAAGGTACTAACGGATTCTTATAAAACTATAAATGATAATGATATAGATTGAGAATAAGGAATCTTTACTGAATCTGCGTTCTATTGAGAAACTACTTTCAGTATCCAAAAAACTACATATAACAAACTACTCATTGAGAATAAGGAATCTTGAATGCTTTTCAAATATTAAACTCAAGATATAGATATGTTTCAGACAATTGGATTATTTGAGCCATAATGTAAATTTCAGCCAACACCGACGAAATTAACTAACAGGCATGGCAGACGCAATAACAAATATATGTAACTGAGATGTTGACAGTGATAACGAAGTGCAATACCATCATTAGATGTTGCTGTCTTTCGAGTTTCTAGTATTCACTAACTAAATAGAATTATCATTTTCAATGAAACATTCATTAGCTGGATTCAACGAATTGGTAGCTACATCTCAATAACTTTATTATATTCGGCTTGTTGGAATGGTTAAACAAATGACAATTTGTGTTTCACAAATACAAAGAACAGGAATAATGTTAGTTTTACTGAACCACAACACAATCAACAATGATGATAACATTCACATGACTACAACAAGGACGATAATGGTATTCAATTCAAGGAATTAGACTAACATTTTAAAAATGTTATTGTATTAACTGGACACAAAAACCGATTACACTCAAGCTTCTAATATTTTAATCTTGTAAACTAAATATTTCACCCGACTATCTTATGCTATTATTAAATTTGTGAAATAAATTCCATATACCCCATGAATAAATATATATGCTATAATCTATCACATTTCCACTGCTTTCCGTCAGATATATATAGCAGATGGCAGTTAAAATAATTTTAATTATATATATAAATATAAATATTTAGTTTTACTTTTTGTTATTCTATATGTACCTTTAAATTATTTTATTTATATATATTTGTGTATATGCATATAATCAAAATGTTATATTTAACCATCGTCCATTTGTGTATAGCAATTTAAATAACTTAAATTTATTTTATTTAATGTTTTTATTATTAAATAAACTACAATTTTCATTCATATAAAATGTAATTTACGGTTATAAAATTTATTTACTTATATTGGCTAACCCTTTGCATAAAATATATATATTACTTCTTACATATATATTAATTGTAAAACTACGATTTATTAAAAAAGACAAATCATAATAATGCGATACATTACATTGTGTTAGGGGATACATATGGTAAATGTATTTATTTTGTTAACAAAATGAAAAAGAAAATTAGTTACAGGCAATGAACAATTGGAATTTAATCTAACCATCAATTTATGTAGATTTATTTTTAAATATTGAATCTATTTACTATCTTATAATGAATTTTTAATTAATAATTCTGAATATAACTTAAGCTTACAATTGATGGCATGTATTTTAAAAAAATTCAACTGCAAACCAGACCCAGATAATCGTCCATAAGAGTACCAATAGCGAACTGAAAACAATATTTAGAGATGTATAGTATATAGACATACATATAAAACTATTGAGAGATTAATACTTACAATACCCGTTGCATCGACACGTGTGCCTACAATTTTTAAACGTATTTTATCCTCTCCTGATATGACAACATCTTCATCTTTTGATTTATAACAAGGTGGATTACCATTTGGGCAAAATTGCATATCTGCTGGAATTGACTAATAGAAAAAAATTATTTAAATTTAATAGAATATGAAGTAATATATAATTTAAGACACATATTTATTTAACACTATTTCAAGTTAAAATTAATGGTAACTATATTTCGATGTTATTCTTAGTTAACAAAAAATATTAGTCTACTTGAAAACATGTTCTATTGAAGCAGGTCACTTTACCTATCGAGCTAGTTACGCCATCTCAACTCACACTAGTTTCAACTAAATCACACTTATTTACTTATCCATCCCTTATTCCAAACAACAGTTTATATTTTCACTCTGCACACACCCTACCAAATCCTAACCCGTATATTAGTTTTGTAATTCCTTGTATCCTTCTATATAGATCTCTCTAGGTTAGATTTGGTAAAAAAATGTCATAAACAAGACCATTTCTTACTAGAGTATTTTGTTTATTCATAAATTTTGTTCTTAGTCAATCTTAAATAAACTTAACAATATGATGCACATGTATATCCCACTCTAATGGAGATAACATCAAAAAGGTTGCATAATATGTACTCCAACTGCTGGTATACTTGGTATTTTTTATCAGAATAGATCACCTGTTTATCTGTGCTATGTAAGAGTCTATCCACACCCTTTGTAAGAGTATTGTTATTGTTATTGTTAGGTCTCTTTAGATTGTGTTTGCTTTTTAGGTCTCTTTAGATACAAAAACATTATAACCCAACATCCTTACCAACCCATCGCGTCTATTGGTAAAATAATTCATTTTGTTTCTACTGTACTTTCTTATTAGATTATAACAACAATAATAGTTATTTTGTTAGTATCTTATAATTGTTTCAATCAAACAAAGACATTATATAAAGGTAATTCCTTTAGTAGAAACATACATATTAGTTTAAGCTTAAATAAATACATAAACTAGCAGTATATTTTTTAGAAGTGTTCGAGATACGACTCGACTGTTTTACATTTTAAAAAACGTTAAAAAAAATTGTGAAGACTGTGAAAATAGTCCATAAGATGGTTAGTAAAATTTAAGAAGTTATGAGAGTAACTCGTTTCATTCTGCATCTTCGGATTATTCAGAAACTATTTCGTATTATTTGTTAAACAGTTCTGTTTAATAATTTTTAAGCAACAATATAAAATTTGTACTCAGTAAGAATCTAAAAGCAATAATTAACAATTCTTATAAAAAAAATTTTTAGTTGAAAAGTCCAAATATAAATCACTTATTTATTTTTTAGCTATTACTATTTTAGCTTTTGCAAGTATACCAAGAGATCTTGGCAAGTTTAAGAAGCAGAATATGGAATAAGATGGTCACATATAGGAATAAAAATAGTAAGTGATCATAAATTGGATATTGATAACATTAGTATATAATTAGTATCTAAAGAAACGAACAATTTCGCTTCTATGGAAACACGTTAAAGATAAAATGGATTTATGTAGTTTCTTACGATAAAGTTGTAAATGTTTTACTTTTGTTGATTAGTATAAAAAAAGTATATTCTTGCAAATAACGATTGAAACAAAACCTTTATAAAGTTTACGTCACTCATTTTCTATTAATGGTTAAACGAAAAAATTAATGTAACTAAGTAAGTGGTTTAAGATTCATGGGTTTGGTTTTTACTAAATTTTTTAATGTTTGAATGGCAGGTGTAGCATGTATAAGAGCTTTATAATAGTGATTATAATTGAAAAGTTTTCTAGTTCTTTCATCAATATTGTTATTATAATCCAAAGAGACAATCGTACACTGCGATCTAAAAGATATATTATGCTATTCTTGTAAAGCGCAAATTCAATTCACCTTAGCCTTTTCAAAATTTTCATAACTTTACTTCATTTTGATAACTTTTCATTTATTTATAAAACTTAACTTAGAGAAGGGATTTATCTTTATATAAAATTAGAATAAAGTGATAAAGTAATAATACTTACATGATGTGATATGAAACATGACAATGGTCCTATTTCGGCAAACATACCAACCTTAATAAATAAATTAATATGGTTAATATTACATTACAGTAAGCAATTTTTTATTTACCTTGTTAATTTGCTTAACAACAGCATCGAGTACTTCACCTTTAAATGGTCGAAACACAATTGCTTTATATTTAACAGGATAAACAACAAAACCTTGGCCAGGTTGTATTAGACCGGAACCAATTTGATCTATAGTGGTAACAGCAATAACGAAGCCGTGCTTGCCAGTGCATGTGCCCTCAACTTCGGTGTACAGTTTTTGTTTCACAGTTTCAAGTAACTGCGGACCGAAGTACCGCGGATGCAGCAAAATTTCGTGTTCCAATGAAATCTATAGATATAATAGAATCATAACTCTTCTCCACTTATATTTATTAACTTACATGATAAAACATTTTATTGTTTATTTATATTAATATTTTAAGTTGAGAAACCAAAGTGAACACAAACAAGAGCCGCTTTTTGGTTCAAGTGAAATGTCACAACACAAATGTCAACTATTGAGAAAAAATAAACTTGTATTCAAAAGTAATGCCAGACTAATAAAAATTTTAAAGTTTATATTTTGTGTAATAGAGTTTTAAAATTGTGTAATGATGTAGTTAGTATATTTGATATATAGATTTTATTATATAAAAAATTATTTAAATTATTATTACAAATGTTAATATAAAATTACCTAAATAAAAAAATATAAATACTATAAATATAAACATATATATAATATAATATATATAAACAAATACGAACAAAAGATAAGAACAAGTAACATACAACGAATGTAATAGAAATTAATGATATATCATAAACCCAAATTATTAAAAGACTTTGAGATATATTAAAAAATATTTATAAATATATTTTCAATTATATGCATATGTAGTGTATATAGTTTTTTTTTAATTTAAATAATTTCAAATTAAAATACAATGTTTTTTTTTCTTGTTTTGAATTAATTTTTTTTTATTAACTCTTTATTATTATTTGAAGACTATTAGTGTACATTATTGAAATAAAAAACTTTTTATATAGCTTTCGAATTTATTTGCAGTTATATAGCACTTTTCTATATAAACTTGTCATCATTTCGAAGCTTTTTTACTTTATCATCAGGGTAGGAAAAATTAATTACAATTAATATTAATTATATTATATTAATATGTCTTAATAACGAAAATTTTAAAATTGATGGTCATAATAATATGGATATTAATAGCATAACGAACTCAAAATGTCATTGTTTTAGAAATGGATTCTATTCATATATATAGAGCATCCTTAATTTTTTGTCGTCATTTTCATCTCTTTCCTGTTTATTTGTGTTACATTCATAATTATAACAACTTCTTGCACAGAGTTTGCTCATGAATTATGTTATCTATAACTCACAATGTTAGGTAAACTTTTTTATATGAAACAAGTAAACTAAAATAGATTTAAGCAATTAATATTAGAATAAGATAAGTATACTAACCAAACTATTGTAAGACTTAGTATAAGTTTTAGAAAACAGTCTTGTCGTGTACGAAGTCTTGACGAGAGTCTTTAAATAGAGTCAATAAGTATTTTATTTTAAAACCAAAAATAAGATGTTTTATTAATGTGAATTTAAGGAGTGCAAATATAGTTACAGACATAATACAGTAAACTATTATTTTATATTCGATGTGAACTAAAATGTTTACTATTCAGAAATGAAAATCTCAATGCTAAGAACAGGAAGCTGATATATAACCAAATAATTCGTCCGTCACTTTTATATGGATGTGTAGCGTTTAGCAAAGCTTCAAACACTCCTATTCGCCAGCTAGAAATTGCACAAATCCAGGCTCTGAGAAGACTTTTCTGGTACCATGGTACATGAGGATGAATGACATCCTCAGGGACCTGAATATTGATCCGATCAAAAAAATACATAAAGGATTGAGTCCTGAAATTATTTACGAAAACTGACAGACTTACCAGCACAGCGTTATCAAATCTCAGAATGGTTACTGGCTCCTCGGGGAGGAGTGCAAATCTGAGGATAATTATTACTTAGTCTGATGAAGTGATAAACAATAATCCAGTCAAGGCATAAAGAGGGGTTTTGAAGATACCTCGCAGTTAATAGAGAATAAAAGTGCTCAATTTATAGTCTTTTTAATGGGTTAAGATAATAAAAGTAAAGCTTTCTACCCTACTTACACGAGTAATATTACAAGAATATAGATTTGCTAATATCTATGTACTTGTTATCAATTCAAATCGTTAGTAGCTTTAACAAAAATTTGCAATATTTATATATCTTAAATAATTAAATTTATATTGCTATTAGCCAGTATAATTGTATAATATGTATATGCATAATTGAAAGGTGAAAGGATGGTGTGAATATTGGACATTGTGCTTAATAGATATTAAACCCTTAAAATACATATTAAATTATAAACTATTGTGAAGAGAAAAAAAAATTTGGAGGAATAATGAAATATATTTATAAAAATATATATTTAAAAAAATTTATTTTTTTCAACATTTTATTTTCTAAACTTAAAATGTTTTTTATTAATTTCAAAAATTTCAAACATTTAACTTCATAAATTAATAAATCAATACATAAGAATTTTAATTAAATACATTTTTTTCTTTGTATACTCCTACGTTATTGTTTATAACTTCCAAATCCATTCTTCTGACAATTTACTTTCTTTTTTCTTATTATCGTATTGGAAGTTATGTTCATCATCATCAAAGGCATAAAGAACTAATGGTTCTTTTTCCTCCTCCATATTTCCATTCACATCTTTTATTTCTTTATTATCAAGATCAACGTTATTTATTTCGGAATAAACTTTGTTTTCAGCATTTTCCTTTTCTTTGTCATCTATATTAACGGTATTTAAAGAGGTACCCACCAACTCATTAGATACATCAGTCATACTTTTTCTTAAATCTCGTAACCCATCTTCTCCCATTAAACTCTGATTTGCATTTATAGTGTTAAATATGGTTTTAGTTTCATTATTACTTTGAGACACATGCTTATCTTCAGATGATTTAATTACATTCAATTCTTCACGTTTCTCTTTTTCTCGATCATTAATTACTGTCCGATCAGTATTTTTCCCACCTTGTTTTGTCATCAATTTATCTACTTTATCAATGTTATCTTGAGTTTGGAAAATAGATTTAACATGACTTGGCATTGGTACATAATAATCATTGCTGTTACTACTGTCTGTACTATCAGTGGAAGTATATAACTGTTCATGTTCTTGCTTCTGTTCTAGATATAAAGAACTCTCTGGCAGTTGTAAATTTTGTAATATATCCTGAATTTCTGTTAATTTTATATTGCATTCATCAAAGACTATTGAATGTTGGCTCGGTTGCAATAGGTGAGACTGTATTTTATTTACATCTTTGTTTTCAATTAGATCAAAATTTGGATTGTCTTGATCAGCACAAAGACGCATACTTTTTTCATCTCTTCTTCCATTGATTTCTCTAGCATATATCCTAAATTCTGTTAGATATGCATCTAGTTTATTGTCAATAAACTTTTCCAGATCATTCAGCATAGACTCCATTTTGTTAAAAAATATATCTTGATTATCATTGTCTGAAAAATTTGAAACAAAGCCATTGTTTTCCATATTTTGAGCTTCGTCACTTTCTTCTTCGGTTACATTTTTATATAGATTATCATTTTCATCCTGATATGATCCGTCATCATCCTCATTTTTGTTTTCAACTTTATAGTCATAGTCCTCCAAATTATTTTCAGCCTCTTCATTGTTTTTCAAATTACTATATCGACTTACATCATCACATTCTTGCTTAATTAATGTTTGTAGATACTCTTGATGTTTATTTGTTAATGTGAAACCATATTTTTTGACTACGTCCCAGTATGTATCTTTATTTGATAGATACAAATAGCCGGGATCAATGTTGGCAATATTATGTACTTCAGGGTTGAATATTATATGCTGTATATCGGAAAGTATGTCTTCTACTGTTAAAGGTGGAATTCGACCTTTTTTATTGCGTAGTAAATTAGACCATATTTCTCCCGTTATGGTAACGTTTGGGTGAAAAATCGGCAACTTGAACACACACTTTGGTGGAAGATTTGGATATTTCTTATTAAAAGTCAATAAAATTTGAAATTGATCTATCTCGAAGCCTGTAGATTTGTCGGCATTTATAACGCATTCCCATGCAAAAAAATTAAAACTTTCATCAGCCTTGCGAATTGGATTGGCTGTTATGTTTGGTAAATTAGTTAAATGCCAATTCTCATATTCGAATTGAAGACGCTTCCATGCATTGGAGTTCATCTTAACTTACTACGTGTGAGTTAAAACTGAAAAAAAATATTTTTAAATTTATTAATTTATTATAAGATAGAAAAAATATATCATGTTAGTCAGTGACTATGTGACTTTCAAGACGTATAAATATCTGACAATGAGACGTCTGTGAAGAGATCTCTTTAGATGTCCGTAAAGTGAATGGGCGGAAGAACACGATATGGTATTAAGAAATAGTAGTTTAAAAGTATGTGGCATTATGGAAGGCACGGGTGATTTATTATATGACTTCCATAGTGGATGATCAATTGAATATATAAAATTGATCAGAAAGATGACTTTTACATTTGTTAAGTTATGAGTTCTCCGTGTTGTTGAATAATAACATAATATTTACAAACTTTTTTTGAGTTTGTTTTTATTTCATAATTGTGAGAAAAAGATAACCAAATCACAACAGATCAAAAATGATTGGTTTGTTTGCGGACTCTCTTTATCGATGTATAAAAAGAGAGTTTTATAAAAGTTTATTCAGGGGACTAAATCATTCTTCTAGTTCACTTTCCAATCTTGTGATGGTGTGAAGGAAAATTTTGAAATCATATTGCCCGTTAATATATTTGATCAGCATGTCAACACAAATTGATTTAACGATTTCGATATGTCTGTCAACATGTGTACGAATTAATAAACATTATCTAATAAATATTTTTAAATAATCGAATAATAGTTTGTAGTTTACAGTGTCGAATTATACTTTTAGTGTATTTTCTACGCATGTGAAGCATGGAAAAGCTCAAGAACAATGCAAACCAAGCTGCAAGAGTTTGTCAACAAGTGTCTCCGACAAAGTCTCAAAATCCGTTGGCCAGAAAAAATATGGAACACCGTATTGTAGCGGGGAACTAATTAACTCCTAGTTATAAAGAAGATAACAAAACGAAAATGAACCTAGATCAGTCACACACTTCGACGACTCGCAAATAATATAGCAAGGCAATCACTGCGATGGAACCCACAAGGTAGTCAACGACCAGGTGCATCGAGTGTTTTAATTGAAAAAGAATTAAAACATGTCGGCTTTACTTGGAATGAAGTCACAAAAACAGCGCCTACTATAATACGATTTAAATTGATGGTGGAGACCTTTTGCTCAGAAGAAGTTCAGGAAATCAGCAGTAGTAGTAGTAATAGTAGTAGTAGTATCCAGGTAAATTAAATCGAGAAACGGTTGAAATTAGTCGAAAATCTTCGGTATAATCAAAGGCAACTTTTTCACATATTATAATATTATCGCTTAAAAGTTCTTTGTTTGTTCCAACGTTTTTCGAATCCAATCTTTAGATTGGATCCAATCTTAATTACTTTTCAAAAATATATATATTTTTGTGTTCAAACTTCCAGTTACCTACTAACTGGAGTTTTGTCACTATCATGGCTCTATAATCATTTTTATGGTTTCTGACCTATGCCCTCAGTGTATTGCCAAATGACAATATCCTGCCGCAGTTAAGGCTAGTCACTGCATTTGTATATACCAACATTTGTGGGTTCAAACCTCCAGTTACCTACAAACTGAAAGGTATGTAAAATATCTTTATATTATTTAAAATAATTAGATATATTCTTTATATCTCTTTATTCTTTATTAGATATATTATCTTTTTAGGATTACCAAAACATAACAGCATCAGAAAGAGCTAAATCATGTTATGAAAACTAGAGAAAAACTTATAGAGTAGATTATTTAATTAATGATTAAAAACTATGTAAAGATCTATTTATCGGTTCTATACGTATAGTTATTTTAAGCGATACATGACTGCGGTTCTATTCTGTGTTTCGAACCCAGTTTAAATTGAGCATAAGCAACAGGTTAAAAGCCGGCATAATAAGATAATAAAATTTAAAAATCGTTCAACTGTTGAGATAAGAAAGTACGATTAAATGCAGATGCTACTATATACAAACTACATTAATAAATCTCAAGATCTGCTTTTTTGTTCAAAAACAGCTAAACTTGTTTTGAAAAATAAATATAAAACAAATTATACGCTGCGGTATTAAATAGAGACTTAGGCTGAGTATAAGGAGAAGAGACCCGCAAAGCTAGTTTAGTCGTTAAGAAGCAGTTGACTGACGCGAACGTCAAACAGAAAAAAAAAATCAGTGCGTCTGAGTAAAATAATAAAATCAATATATATACATATATATATATATATATAAATTCATTGATTTCTTTTGTGATATAAAGGTATTATTATTATTACTATTATAATTTTTATTATTATGTTGTGGTTGAATACATTTTAAAGAAATAATATAAAACTGAAAATAAAAAGATATTTTAAATGATGTATAAATTTCGATATCAAAAAAAAAACTTTAAATTCGAAATAAATCCAAGTTTTTTCTTATAATAAGTCAAGGACGTTTATTATATAAAATAATTAATTGTTATAAGTGTGCTTTAAAAAAAATTTAAAATACTGTATATTATAAATGAATAAAAAAATATTGAATAATTTAACAAGTAACTGCTAATTAAATGTCAGTCAGTGTTGTTGTTCTAATGTTCACAAAATCTATGGAAATCCCCAATTCGCGTCACAATACTTGCAACTTCTTTTGAACTTAAGCGAAGTATGCGTCACAGCGAATAATTTCCTAATTTTGAACTTGTTTGGTGGGGAAAAAAATTTGCAAACGCTTGAATGGCTTAGATTTCCCCGCAAAATCGTAGCTTGAGGGGAATTATTGTTGTTTTGTCTTATAATATATTAAAGACTAACAAAAAAAAAAAACAAATAATGTAATCAAAATGTATAACTTGACCTTTGAGCTAAATATAAATGAAGATTTGTTTGTTTTGAACTGATAAGAATCCATATTAGTTCAATCAAGTATTTTAAAAGTAAGACAATAACTAATTTAATTGGGACAAATTCATTTATTAAATATATATAATACATATGTAAATACAATATGTATTTAATATTTTTTCAAAATTTCATTACGTTAGCAAATCTTAGTTCTATTAGACATTTCAAATTAATCTGCAAATGACTAGACTCGCTCACTTTAAAGACTAATTGTGGAACAATATTTAAGATACTAATAAAACCGACAGCAAACTACGAGACAGATATCTGTCTATAACGACAGAGCAGGTAAACCAAAGTAAACCAATTCAATTTTTGAATATATATACGTATGTAAATACAATATGTATGTAATATTTTTTTTCAAAATCCCATAACGTTAGTAAATCTTAGATCTATTAGACATTTTAAATTAATCTGCGATATTAATAAAACCGACAGCAAACTACGACACATATATCTGTCTATAACGACAATGCAGATATACCAATGTATAAGACCCAACGTCGTTCAGAAATCAAAGTATAACAGAGTCATATTCCCCATTTAAGAATGGGAAGTAGATATATTTCCACTTTACGTAATATGTTATTGAGGGAAAAACATGGCGCCACGTAGTATGTTTATAAAAAAAAAATAATTTTTTAAAAAACGAGAAAAAACCGGGTTTTTTCAAAAGTTACTTAGAACAGCTCATTGAACCAAAAATATTATCGCTATATAAAAACACTCTTACAAGCCATTTTTTGAAGTGTTTATTTACTACAGTAGTAGTTTCCATAGTGATTAGTTGCTATGAACCTTAGTCTAAATCTTACCCTTAGTAATGGTGGAAGCCGTAATCTATAAGATAATAATAATTATAATTATAACAATCATAAAAAATGTTTGTCTTCGATAGATGAGCGCTATGTGATGCACGGTCGAAAATTTTAGTTTAAATTATCGTCCCTGAAAACTTAATTAAGGTTTAAACTAATATTTTTAAACTCAAAGGTTGAGGTTTTGTAAACCCACTGAAGTTGAACTTTCGGAGTTGAATGTTTAAACTTTAAAGCTAAAATAGTTGAAAATAAACTGCGTGAGTTGATATCATACTCTGCAAGTGTTATTAAGAAACCATCAGTGTTCAGTTTTTAAATCCTACAATCCAGTTAACTCATTCAATTGGATAAATATAAAAACCCTATGCGTTTTAAAGTTAAACTAATATTTTCGATTGTTTTACTCTTATAAACGTTCCTGAACTCACATTTAGTTGGAGATACCAATTTTTATTATACATTATATACAGTTTTTATTTAAAATCTAGCAATTGTCTTAAGGCGCACCTAACCAATGTGATATCCTTTCTTACTTATTTATAATTCAGTTTTACTTTATATTGATGTTAAAGAGCATTGATAACAATTTTCGAGACTTTTTCTTTCAATTTTTGTGTCAATTATATATCACAATAATCGATTCTAAAATTTTTAGATCTTTTCAAAACTATTTGACAAAAATAATCATGTTAATTACAAAACAGCTTCAAAGAACTATTAGAATCTAATATTCTGGAAGAAATATCAAGAAAAAATCGCAGACCAAAACATACCGAAGATATTTTAAATAGAATATACAAATATACACATATAGTATAAAGACAAAATAATCTCTCCACTGTGGGCAGAAAACTGAATCAAAACAAATAAATGTGAAACAAGAAATATAATAATTCCACCAAGTTATAAAGCAGTATAAATACGTCCTAAAATTTGGATTACCAAAAATTTATATAATTAATATCAAATTATAATTGTATCTAAGACGAAACCATAAAGCTAACTCAGTTTTTGTCTTCTTCTCACCTAATGGACACTATTGTTGTAGTCGTACTATTATTGTCTTATATGTCTCTTAATGTCTCTTGTAAAAATTATCGTTTACAATTTTTAGAGATTTCCTATAGGTACAATTACTTCATAGGTTGCCAGCGGCGTATCTTATGTCTGGTATTTCAAGTTATTGTCATTTTTAAGTATATTTTTTATACTTTTAATATTATATAAATAATTTATTTATTATATAAATTTATTTTTTATGAGTACGTACCTCTTTATATATAAAAATTTTCTTTCTAGTTGCGATAGAAGATATTTGCAAATTTGAATATTATAAATTAACTTAATATCCACTGTTTTAAAGTAAACCAAGTTTCACAAATTTTTTGAATACTGAGGAAACTAATTTTATTTTCCTATGAAAATATATGACACATTACTTTATGAAGTTGTTAAAGTAATTGACATTTAAATCAAATTTGATTTGATTACAACTTGTTAACTTGCTGTTTACACTGACTTAATTATAGTAAGACTTTTGTGTTCAAATGCAATTACGAATAGTTTTCGATTTTGGTCTGCAAAGCAAAATTTGGATGTGTAGTGAAAAAGTGAGAGTACTTGCAAACATTTTCCCAGAAATTTAACTGTGCATTCACACTGGGTTGAATTTGTTTAAATTTTTATATTAAAAAGAAAATACGTATTATTTTCGAGTTTTGTCTGCAAAACTTTGTATTATTTTCGAATTTTGTCTGCAAAACTTTGCATTATTTTCGTTGAGTTGAGTGTATGCAAAAGTCAGCTAGAGTCGACGCAATTCGGCTAACATCCGCACGCTCCGTTTGGAAATTACATCAAATTATAAAACTAGTGGAATTGCTGAAGAAGTATGTTATTTTTTTAAAAACACAGTGTTACCCCTTTTTACTACTCTTTAATAATAAGATGATTATTTCACCTTAATTTCCAAAAAACCAGTACGTTTTAGAATATTTCAGATTTTAATGTTATGATGACTCAAGAGTTGAGAACCACTATAAAATAGTAAATATTGTATATCTAATAATTTATAGTTATCTAGCATCGTGGTTTTATTCAAGCCTTTACTTCTCATTACTTATTATACTAACTATTGTATTATGCTATATATGTTCTTAATTGAGCTTTCTCATAGTTCTCATAGTTTCTCATAGATTTTTTTTATAATACTCTTTCAAAAATTACTTTTTGTTTGTTTTTATTTTGATGAATCTAATAATTTTTAATTGAAAATTAAAGTAATTAATAAACTATATTTCAATAAGTGTGCTACTAAAGAAACGAAACTTTTTACTCTCTTCTCTAGATCTGTAGATAAGCAAAACTTAGCCTCTACTCATAGCAACTCAAAGAAAAATCAATGAAATTATTTTAAATATTTAATCAAATAATAGCCTAATTTCGTAATATCACTTACATCATTATCTAAAGTAATTACTTATCATCATATGATAAAGAAATTCTCAACAAAATTTAAATCATAGATATGTTAAAAGAGATATTGGCATGATTAATAATGGAAGTAAATCAAAGATAACACATTAAGTGTTACCAACTATAAAAAAAAAATTAGATTGAAACCATTTAACATATAATTTTAATATATATATGTATTTAAATATATGTATGTATGCTTAAATGTGAAGATAGACAACTGATGGTAGAATGATTAAAATATAATCTTTATTACAGATGAAAGATGGGCTAATCCTTAACAATTTTAATAAGTTCTGATGAAGTTAGAAACAATTTTATAGTTGCTGTAGACACGTAAAAGAGTACTTTCATAGGCAAAGTTGAGGATAAAGGAGAAAAACATAGACATTTATATATATATAACCTTAACCTTATAACCTTTAGGCTATATATAACCTTAAAAGTTCTTAAGTACTTTGAAGAAATAGTGTTTAAAAAGTATAATTCTTATAGTCGACACTGAAATGTTTTAGGTAAAATCATTTAACTAATTTTTTAATCCATCATTTCTAGATAAGATATTAAAAGTGTTGTGATTTAATTTTCGAATATGTAGTTTTGTTTCAATTCGTTACTGACCTTATTATTTTCATGGCAGATGGTTTGTTATTTGCGATATATTTGCATATATATATAAATTACATAATAAATATTATATATTAAATAGCACAACGTTTATATTAAATCACGTTAAAAAAAACAATATAATTGTGAAATAAATACTTGTATTTAAAAAAAATTCCATAAACTTTAATAAAGCACAAAAAACCCAACTTGATACTATTTTATAGAAAACTAGCGGACCCGACAGACTTCGTTCTGTCAGAAAGATTTGGAATGTGGCAGTTTTTTGTTCCTACCCATTTTATAGTCGGGGCAAAAAAAATTTCCTGAACAGAACAGTCACCCTGATGTGTGGGATTCAACTCGGGTGACCAAAGTATATTCTCTTTCAAGAACCACTAAAAAACCCCGACTGGGATGGTGAAACCCCAGAGGGTTTCAAACTAAGACGCGAACTCAGGGTTCAAACCTGATTGTAAAATAATCTAAGGGGACAGTGGAAACCTAAGGGTGACAAATATATAAAAAGTGGGTGCCTCGTTTGGATAGTGGAGATAATGATCTGCAAAAAAAATCATGGGAATTTTAATAAACATACCTAAACATACCTATTCTGGTTATGTTCTTGTCTTCTTATATGTAAAAATGATTCGAAAAATGTGTTGGTAAGCGCATAACTCAACAACGCCTAGACTAATTTGAAATTAGCAATAATTCCATTTTTTCTCGCCGTAAAAACCATCCTTGGACTTCAACGAACATTTAAAAAAAAAATTGACCAAATTGGTCCAGGCATTGTTGAGTTATGCGCTTGCCAACACATTTTGCGATTCATTTTTATATTAGAACTTTATTGAATAGCAATAATTCGATTTTTTTTCTTGCCGTAAAAACCATCCTTGGACTTCAACGAACATTTAAAAAAAAGAATTGACCAAATTGGTCCAGGCGTAGTTGAGTTATGTGCTAACCAACACATTTTTCGATTCATTTTTATATATAAGATATATTCTATATTTTACAAAATAATTTGTTTATATAATAACTGTAAAAAATATATTTCTACTTACAGATATCTTTCACACTTATCCATGTTGCTTACAGTAAATATATTTATTCTGCTGTTGAGTGCCATCTCAGCTCAGGTTGCACCACAACAAAATGCTAATATTCAGGACATAGTGAACACCGTATTCCAAGTGACACCCACTGCAACAGCAAGACGCACGGGATTTAATCAAATTGTGACACCAGAACCAGTGGATCCTTCTAAACCTTTACCTAATTTCACCTCGGTTAGTGGTCGAGCACAATGTAATTGTGTGCCTTATCACATGTGCGACCCTAGCACGAATTCAGTAACTGAAGATGAAACATTCGATGGTTTTGGGTTAATCGATCTACGCGCCGATTTTAATGATCCCGTATGTGAACATTATTTGGATGTTTGCTGTGACAATAATCGGACTTTACCAACAAGCTTGAAACCAACTCCAGTAGAAAATCGTCCTAATCGTCCCACAGGATGTGGTATACGTAATGTAGGTGGTGTTGATTTTAATATAACAGGTGCACTTGATAATGAATCTGGGTTTGGTGAATTCCCTTGGACAATAGCGTTACTGACAGCAGCGGATAGTACGTACTTCTGTAGTGGTTCATTGATACATCCGCGTGTTGTGTTAACTGCTTTCCACTGCATTACTCAGCGTGCCCCGAATAGTTTTGTGGCACGTGCTGGTGAATGGGACACACAAACAACAAGAGAACGTTTACCTTACCAGGAACGTACAATACAAAAAATAATAGCACATCCACAATTTAATGAGCGTAATGTAGCCAATGACTTTGCACTTCTCATACTCTCTGAAGCTTTTGTATTGGACGATCACATTAACGTTGTTTGCTTACCCGCACAAAATGGTATACCAGCAACAGGCACCAACTGTTATTCAACAGGTTGGGGCAAAGATCAGTTTGGTGCTGCTGGACGTTATAGTGTCATTATGAAACGTGTGCTTTTGCCAATAGTTGAATTTAATGATTGTCAAAATAAGTTACGAGGCACACGACTTGGCCCCAAATTTGCTCTAAGTCCCACATTTATTTGTGCTGGTGGCGTTGTTGGTATTGATACATGTCAGGGAGATGGTGGTGCACCACTTTCTTGCCCAGTTGGTAGCTCAACAGATAATCGCTTTGTTCAAAGTGGTATCGTAGCATGGGGAATAGGTTGCAATACTCATATTCCAGCTGCATATGCAAATGTTGCATCGGCACGCGATTGGATTGATGGACAAATGTTGACAAATGGATTCGATACTGCCACTTACACTACAAATTTATAATTTTATTTTAATATATAATAAATAAATTAGTGTTTAAATTTATTTGGTTTAAATTTTGTAATTATTAATGCTTTAAGTGTATAAGAGAGAAAAATAAATGAAAAAGAAAAAAATCACTGAATTATTTGCATTTAGAAAATTATATATTATTAACGCTTTCTGTCGGGGATTTATGAAGTACGTTTTCGGTTGCCATAAGAGAATTTCAATTTATTAAGATCTATGATCTAACTATCTTGAGATAAGATAGATCTTAAGATCTAGATTTAAGGTTACACAGAAAGTAATTGATGTGAATTCTATTGAGTCTTTCAAGTAAAATGTAAATGTAACTTTCTAAACGACTTCTCATTAAATTACTTCACTTTCTTCGGAACCGGTTCAATCAAATTTATTGTTTTGTCTATTTCTTCTTAAAGGGCTTCATGCTTTGTAATGGATGCAGATTTCGTTTATGATAATGAATTGAAGTACACTTGCTGTACTTATGATCAAATACTACCCCTATTATTTGAACAGCTTTTAAACCCAGTTGCTTGCAGAAAGTAGATATCACTCAGTGTTATGGATATATCATAAATCACCAAATTCTTACACTTTCTTTTTGGTCAATGAAAATATCATAAGTAAAATATAACCAGGCATTGTGCATAGTCATAAATGCTGATATCTTTGATTTCATTTGGCGGTAAACCTTTCAAAAGTGGATGGATTTCTGGTTCTATGTTTAAAACTAACATTATTGCGAGCGCTCTCTAGCGATTTTCTAACAACTAATTGAGTTGCTGCATTTTGATATTTATATTTGATTTATGGTACACACAAACATTTTAGTAATAACTGCTGTTGGTATTAGAAATTACGACACAACTTCTAATGTTCAATGATTTCATAATATAAATTTCATGAAATTTTTTCAATGGAACAAATTAACATAATCAATTCTCTCATAGTGAAATTATACGCGACATACAGTATACACATATCATGTATATTATTAAATATGTGATTTGGTTTTACATATACTCATAGTATTGTAGATAGCAAATGGAATAAATGTATTTTAGTTTTAGTCTTATGACGTACACAAACAGATGTAAAGAAAAAATGTTATTTTTAATTCATATCAAATGAATGGATTACGGATTAATCGTTATTCCAATTGATGTCTAGTACGGAGTTTCAAAAAAATTTAATAAATGTCATATAATGGTAACTTTTTTAATCGAGATTCATTTTAAGTGCAATTTGTGAAATAAAATATACAACGCACGAGATAATTTATAACTCTCTTGATATTTTTCCAGAGTAACAAGATTACCCTGCAAGTTACAGCTGTTTTATATGACTTGACAAATAAAGTGTGATTTGATTCGATATACCTTGTGATCAAAAAAGAACTTACATTTTCAATTTTTGAATTTTTGAATCGGTAAATTTTTTTTATTTTCAAGCTGGCAACACTATTATACACATTCTGTCAAAGTTTAACTCATATCGTACGATTAGTTTTTGTTTGGCGTCTTTACAAAGATGTCGAAAAATTTTCGTGTGACCAAATTTTCTAAGACCGGATATATTAAAGACCAGTAAAAATTTTGATCGATGTTCGCAATATTAGGACATACTGTATTTAATCAATTTATTTTATTTAATGGGAAACTTGTCGAGTAAAATTGTACTTGAAATAAAATGTACGAGTAAAGTCTGTGTAGCATTATCAAATTGCGACGTTCTCTCAGATGCTCTCATTTACTCGAAAATTTGTTGGTGGAACGCACTAGTGTACACAAGTGTGTTCACACACGTACTACGAGTACCTCGTGGAACAGACTTAGTATAAACGTTCTATTTTAGGTAGAGCAGTTTTCACTTTGAAAATACATTACTGCAGATATAGGTATATATGTAGTTCAAATATTATACTATAACAATTTTAGTTTTCTATTACATTTCTTTACCTGGGTAATATACTTTTCGAATGACAGGTAAAGTTATGTACTGCAGTTATAAATAGCATTAGATACTTAACTAGGTATGTTTTATTTCCTGTCCAAAATTATTTGGCTTTTTTACTTTCTTTATCTCTAATTATTGACAAAATTATATTACATGCGATAAAAGAATATTGTATTTATATATCGATGTTTAAGTTAGCGCAAAGGTTTATATGATTAAAATGGAACGGCGATTCATTTAGAAAAAAAGATTTAAAAAATAAGGTCAACCTGAATAATTTACTTTCTTGATGAAATTTATGATAAATCCAGATATAAAAATATAAAATATAAAAATTTTCTGTGCATAGTTTAAAAAAACTTTAAGTTTTTTAATTAATTACTAATATTAAATAATTAATTGCTAAAATTTAAATAAATTGGCAATATGAAATTAAATTGTTACCATCAAAAAATAAATTAAATAAACTACAAATCTATAGCAACTAATAAGATCATTTAAAAATTTATAGAAAATACAAATTCTCAAAATATTAGAGATCCATATATCCTACAAAAAATTTTTAAGTTTTTATCCAGTATACAGGTCTTCTATTTCTATGGGTAGACTTATTAAAAACAAATACATCGAGCTGAAAGCACTCGCAGCTACTACCCAGTAGAAAACGGATCGATCCGTCATCGAAGACGTCTTCAAGACATGGATACATACATGAAGACCGATCGATCCAAATGTATGACGGTCTTCGAAGACACTTTCATACAAATTAGCCAAATGTCTTCAATGAATTTTTGCGTACATGTCTCGAAGACCGTCTGGAACACCATGTCTTGCATAACGGACGCATCCGACAGAAAGTTGTGCGCTCTTAGTGCAGTGCTCATATAATTTTTTCACCCCTTTTTTTATTTCTACTCTTTTATTGCGCTCTTTAAATTTTAAATGAATTTCAATTTTCTCTTTAAATAAGTAGAAAGAAATTGTTGTATTTTGTACTTTTATCTAAAATTACATTCAAAATTAAAAGTTTTAAAAGTAAATTATAAATTTTATTATAAATTATTATAAATTTTATTAAGATATTAAAAATAAACTAGTAAAAACTAGTAAACATAATGAAAATTAATTTAAATAATTAACTTAATATAACTTAACATATAGCATTTCGCTATCATCAATTGTTGAAGTTTTATATGTTTTCAAAAGCGTTGAAGAGGATTTTGGTACAATTAAACATTCTGATCTTAAGAGTTCTAAAATATCATTATTACAACGCCTGTTAATCCTGTGTTTTTTAAATATAACAGCTAATTTTTCACAAGTGTTTTTAGTTTTTTTATTTTCAACATCCTTTGTTTCGTTTCTTAAACAACTTTCACTGGAATTATTGTCTTCAATATTAATATCAATATATTTTCCAGGAACTATGTCAATATTTAATTTGTTTTGATTTAATTTCTTTTTTTTTAATATTTCATAGTTTAATGATTTTGTTTCTTTATTTATTTTGATTTTTTTAATATTTGTTTCACAAATGTTTATTCACTACACTTCAAAATTATTGCGTCACTTTATTTATAAAACATAGCGTCATCTGAGGCAAAATTCAAATACGTTGCTATGAACACTAAAAATGAGAGAGAAAGCAAAGAAAGAGTATTTACATTCATGTTTTGAGCAATTGTTTTGCAAATTTGCCTGAAAATGCGGACGCGGTATCAAAGACCGTCTTGAAGACAATGTCTTCGAAGACCACTTTTTCTACTGGGTACTCGTTTTTTTATCATAATTATAAGATTTTATATAAAATCAATAAACAAATACATACAAATCATAGATAATGGCAACTGTAGTTGTTAGATGTGTAAGACAATTTCTACTTATACTTATTATTGATTTATACTATGTTCAAACACACCTTAATTTCGCAAAAATCTTAATTTCATCGAAATTCAGTTTTAAGATTAGAACGAAATTAAGGAAAATGGTCTTAATTTCATTAAAATGAAACCTGAAATTACGGGACATTTCAAACGCATCTATGTGTTTAATAAATTTTAAGCACAAAATATAATTTGTCAAAGGCAGTTGGCTTTAATAAAACCGGGAAAATATTTTGAAAGTAGTGCAAATGTTTTAAATTGAATATAGAGAAAAAAGCGTAACTGTTATTAATTAAAATTAGAGTAAAAAATAATAATTCACACACCTGAAATCCACTAAAGCTAATAAAACTACTAAATGCCATGCTTTATAGTTATAATAATCAACTTAAAAAATTTCCCAGATACAAATGGTGTTTTGAGTTTGTAATTTTTAACAATCCATTTGTAAACAAAATTATATGATTTCTTTTATTTGGGGCAGTATGAACACTTTCGAAATGAACTGAATTTCATTTTTACAAAATTAAGGATATTTGACTGTCTGAACATAGTATTATACTTCTAATAATAATAGAGATGATGAAAGAAGGAGAATGTAAAAATTCCCATCTTTTATGTTATAATATAATTTAAAGAAGTATTGACATTTGCGCCGAAGTCAACAATATTTTATTATTTGATTATAAATTAATATTTTATATTAATATATGTAAGTTGGCAACCCTAACTGTCAAACATTCTAACAAATGAGCAACAAGTATATTAGAATTTCATAATTTGTATTAATAAGAGAGCACATTTTCACTACTAACTTTTGTTCTGGAGTGAGTGTCCATCAGTATTATTTTAGTTATCATATTGATGAGTTAATCATGTGTTTTGTGCTCGCGAATTAAATAAAACTATTACGTTGCGATGACATACGAGTTGAGTTAATATAATGTGCAATCTAATTAAAACTGTCTAAAAATTCATTTTATTTTAATTTATTAACGATTTCCATTAAAATGTCTAAATTTATTACTCTGCCAGATGATTGTTTGTATCAGATATTTTCAAAACTATCACTAGTCGATCAAGTAAAATGCTCTGAGGTATGTTGGCGTTTTCATAGTACTATCAGTTGTATGATATGGCGCGTTAAATATAAGAATTTTAAAACAAATTCCGACATCTTCAATCCTCTCACAAATCCAGATTATCAGAGAGTATTTACTGCAATTGTTAAATACATTGAGGAACTAAATATAGTAGAGACAAGAAATCATGCGTTCGCTTCATATTTGGGGCGCTACACCTACCGACCAGAGTTAGGATATTATTTCAGATTCGATTATGAACATTTAAATTCATTTATTTGTGATGACTCAAGTTTGCACGATGGCTATGTACGCATACTTGCTGGTTGTTGTCCAAACATAAAAAAGCTCCATGTTTCCAGTGAACATGTTACCGGAGAATATATATCACTTTTTAATCACTTGGAAGTGTTATATATGCCACATTGCTCGATCAAACAAAATATATTTAATGAATTATGCTGCAAATTTAAGCTGACACATTTGGATATCCGTGCATGTGAACTAGATATATCGATTCTGTATAAAAAACCTAACACAACTTTAATAGAACTTGCGATATGCTCTAAAAAATCTTTTACAACGAACTGTATTCAAAACTTCGAAAATTTCCTGAAACTGAAGTACCTTAAGTTGGATGATATAATATATGATGACCGTACAGAAAATTTTATAAAGAGTATTGTACATAATATTAAGGAAGTGCAATACTTCATTCGCTTTGAGACAAACCAACGAAAATTTCAAGGAGAGATACTTCCTAAAATGACAAAATTGAAAAAATTGTACATGTGGTTTAATGGATACTTCACATCACCATTTGATAATGACTCACTTGAAGAATTACATCTGATACATTTATACAAACATCAATGTGATCAATCTTGGATGCCAAACCTTAAAAATTTGAAACATATTTATTTAGGAGCAGGTGTTGATCTAATTAGTGTAACTAAACATTGGTTGATTAATCTAATATCCCAGATACAATCTGGTGCTGGCAATCCCCTTGTTTTACATCTATTTAAAACTGAAATAGATTATTCAGAAGAGGGGTCCGAAAACTATTATATAGTAAGTAAATCCAAGACTAAATACTAATTATAAATATATATGACCTTATGTTTCACAACTATTTTAAAATCGATGAATTATAATCATTCATGCACATACACACACAAATGGAATATATTTTTATGGAGAGGATGAGAGAGAGAGAAATAAAAAGAAAAAGAGATAGTAGTTTTATATATTAGGTCTGTCCCACGAACTACTCGTAGTAAAACTCAAGTAAAGCATAAGTAAAGTACAAACTGAGAGCGTAACACAAATAAAGTGCCAAATTTCGCTCTTTACACAGATTTTCAAGGAACAACTTCATGTAAAGTCTGATGAGAACACCAGTTCCGCGCAAATAAACAATACCATAATTTAAATGCAAAACAAAACAGCTGATTCACACATCAACACAAACTTTACTTGAAATAAAATGTACGAGTAAAGTCAGGGATGTTGCGCTCTCTCAGATGATCTCATTTACTCGAAAATTTGCTGGTGGAACACACTAGTGCATACACAGTGTTATTTCAAGTTACTACGAGCAGAACAGAGCTATTATTTATCCATATACTAATGTTCTGACCGGAATAATTTGCATATTTATATATTATAAAAACTAGAAAATGGTTTCAATTTTAGTTCATCATAAAAGCCGAGGTAGTAAGATATGTGCGACTAAATGTTTTTTAATTTGCTTGAAAATTGAAATAAACATTTCATAACTTTACAAAATAAAAGGTTAGTGGGTAAACGACCTGGACGGAAGCCATTCTGCATTAGAGTGATTCCACTATTTTTGGTAGAAAAGGTAGAAAGTATTGTCTTCTGAAAGTAGATCACATTGCTTAATACAAATTTAACCCAGTCATATATATATATTATATGCAAATGGAAAAGTTAGAAGCATATAGTAAAATATAAAAAATTTAGAGGTACATTATATTCAGAGGCGACGCGTCGAATGGTTCAGAGTGTTCACTGAACACCTTAACAAAGCTTCCTTTTTAGATCTTTTTTTTTATTAGGTAAATAATCTCGCTATTTTGCTACTTAACATTTTTTATAATAGCTTTTCCAAACAGATTAACATAAACACAAAACGTACAATACAAACAAAACCATACATACATATGTTAGTTACACCCAACATTACTTATAATTAATAAAAGACAAAACACATTTCTCTTAAAATATACTAAGGTTCAGAATAAAAACTGCACCGCGCTGCTTACAAAGCATGCAAATGAAATAACATTTACAGTGGGACTATGTTCAATATTGTATACACAACACAAAACATACAAACAAATATAAAAATAAAAGAGAAAACAATAATCATAACTCTTAAATTAATGCGTGCAAGCGGTTCAATAAAAAGTGAAGCTCCAATGTTATGCAAGTAAATACAAAAGAGAAAAGAAATGATTGAATGAAAATCGCTTTACGTTTGACGAGAGGTTCAATAGACTAAATTGAACCGCAAGTTCATAGAAAGCGTGCAAATACAATCAAAGTCACGGTTGCCGTTTTATATGGGCAAATGGTTCAATAAAAAAACTGAACCGTGCATAGTAAATACAAAGTAAAAGAGTAAATGAATGCATGAGAGTTTCTTACTCTTATGTAGAGGTTGGAAATAAACTAAAAACAAAGTCATTATTGCAATTTTATACTAGCAAATGGTAAAAGTAAAGAAAAAAATTAAAGAAATTTGAAGTGAAAAATTAATATTTAGAAATGGATAAGTGTGTGATTAAAGATTTGATTCAAATATCTTTTTTTAAACGATCTTCTGAAAAAAAGGTTTTAATTCGAAATCTGTGGTAAGTCGCCGTTTGCCTACAGCTATTTACCATAAAAACCAGTGGATCACAGGCTGCGAACATTTAAATAAATTGTTTTGTTGGTCTTGTACGCTATTTGCTTGTGGAAAGGACAAAACTCAGGAGTAGGGGGAATACGTTATAGTTGGAATTCTATTTTGATCAAATTGTGAACACCTTGCCAAAAAGCTGACGCCTCGCTACTGATTAGATTTAGTGATATTGGTAAATACTCGCGGCTTTTCGGTATATTTTTGAACAACACTGGTTGGATTTTGAATCAAACATATATATTTATATATTTTTGCAATTTTTCCGGTAGATTCATAGTTTCATCAGCGTAGTTCTTCTCTGCTTTATCGTCGATAAACTTGTCAAGTGATTTTTAGCAGTTCTTCCTTTAGCCAACTTTTTACTATTAGAAAGTTTCGCAGAGATCGGGAATAAATAGCAGTCAAACGATATAAGATCCGGAATATACGATGGATGCGTCAAAACTACTCAACCAAATTTTATTGATTTGTTTCAATTCATCAAAAATTTGTGTGGTTTGGCATTGTCATGATATACCACAATTTTTTTTCTGTGGTTCAATTCTAGTCGCTTTACTTGATTGTTTTATACAAGCGATCAAGGTGTGAGCAGTAGAGAATCGAATTAAGCGTTGCATTAAGCTGAAGCAGCTTGTAAGAGATCATTCCTTTCGATTTTATCAAACACTTAGCAAAAGTTTTTTTACCATCAAACTACACTTCGGAGTCACATTTTAAACACGTGTCCGCATGTCATAATCCGATTAGTGTTGCTAGATATATGGATACCAACACCAACTGGTGACAGGAAACCGAGAATACTTTCCAACATTTTTATATATAATACTTTTTTTATAAGTAATATTACATTACTTTTTTATAATATATAGGTCGTGTGCGATTTCGAGTAAATTGATGGTAAATTGAGGGAAGTAGTAAATTATCTCGAAGTAGGGTAAATTAGATAAAAATTAGAAAAATTAGACGTCACCAAATTTGAAAACTTTAAACCAAAAATAATAAATAAGTGTAATAAATAAATAAATATTTACATAAGTGCAGTGCAAAAAATCCCTAGGAAATTTCAATTTACTTTACCCTAATGCGACCATAATACTTTTATATAAATTTGTACAAATAGTGTACTTGTAAAAGTGGATACTTTGTATATTTGAATCTGCTTTAAAGAATTATTAAATAGTCTTTTTAATATAAAATATAGTATTAGTTTAGAAATTTACTTGGATGGTTTTAGAGGGAAATACCGTGGAAAGATTTATCTATTATTCATAGCTGAGTTTCATATTAGAAGAACTCGTTACACATGTTCATGGGTACTCACCATGAAGATACTAGTTTTCGTCAGCTTATTCGCACATATATCACCATTATTTTAGCATAACTAATATTGTACAGTAGAGTAAAGCGTGATTCTCGAATGTTGTCTTGGGTCGACGTCGCTTGCTATTACGTATCATTCATTGTAAACATTATTTGAACATTCCTTAGCGAAGAGTACTACAAGTGCATTACAATATAAAATCATGCGCACAATGAAAAGATGTTTTCGCTTCCATGACTTAAAACTGAATGAAATTTGCATTAAAGCCGACGAAAATCCGATTGTATGTTATACGAAAAAAAACCAGCTCTGTCCGTCATTTCGGCAAATGTTGTTATTACACATGAGCTTTGGCAATAAATATCATGTTTAATACTCAACGTTCGATGTGACATAAAAACAATCCAGGTTTTATATGCAGTTAGATATTAGTTTAGATACTAGATAGCCTGTCGAGACTAGTAGCTAAAATAATATGCAACATAAAATGATAAATCCTTAATTTCATTATTATATATGTTATTATATCCATTAATTTCATTTATTAATTGATTATAATTTTTATTTAATATTTTTAGGATTTTTTAAACCACGTTAAGCATATAGTGACTGTGAAGCATGATATACCAGAAACACACCAATTTGAAAAAAATTCCTTTATACATTTCGAGTTTTATTAAATCAAAATATTTGAATTCTTTCAGTTCAAAATATTATTATTATAATATTATTACGGATATATGTTTTTTTGATATGTGTGATTAAATGTTTAAATTAAATTAAATGTATGATTATTTGTAGATATTAAAATAAATATTTGTTAATTAAACATTGCATTAATAGAAATTTTACAATTCTTGGTCTGTATTTATTTTAAAAAATCGGCACAAAATTGTCCTGTACCTGATACTGATCAAGACTACATAGTGGCAAAGATTGTAGCAAGAATTCAAGTTATATAGGTTTTCTTTTAAAAATAAATCCAATATTTTGCAGTTCTTTGATTGCACTAACCAAAGATAGTAGATTTGAATCTTTATAACAACTTTGTTAAATGTTTTTTACATATTAATAATATTTAAGGAGGCATATAGGAGTGTCCTAGGAGAGTCAAATGAACTATTTTGCATAAGAAACTAACTTTACATGTATACATAGATAGTATAAATCTTATGGTAGGTAATGTTAGGCTAAGAGAACGTGATATATAACACGCCCCCTCTAGTCTAGTCGGAGACATCTATTGCCCATTGTAATGCTTTCCTAATGTTCTCCTTGTTAAACTATTTGGTCCATGAAACTGAGTGTATCCTATAAGTCTACTTTCCTTTTTTCTTGTTAGTGTAGAAATGATCTCTAATTCAAGACACTGAAATTCTTCGTCTGCAGTCCCGAACAGAGACATAAATAGTAATCAATGGATTTTATTTCTTCTTCATCGTTGCAGCTCCTACATATTCTACTTGTTGGAATTCGCAAACGTTGACGCATCGGTGACAGTATAGTAAGTACACAAACTAAAAATTGTCTTAATTGTCACACTGTCTCATTTAGACGGTTTTGCTCATTATAGGCACAAATGAGCATGGTTTACCATATAAAGTTCCTTTATATATATAAGCTCATTATTAATAAATCAGCACGTTTAAGGCAAAAAATGTTGAATGCAGCCCTTAAAAATAAATTTCCCACAAGGGAAATTACCAAAATTTGAAATATGTGTCATATGTTTTATATGAACTATAACAGCTGAACTATATACAAAGGCACTGAACAAGTAAGTATTTAATAAAATCCTTGTTTCATTAATTGAATATGTAAATAATATATTTAATGTATATAAATGATATAATATATTAAGTATTCCATATATATAATTAGTAAAGTTTATAAAAGTTCTATCAGCTACATCAATGACCTCATTATAATGTGTACGTTCACAGTGTGAATGTGCTATAATCCAATAGTAACATCTTATGATTATTATGGCAAAAAACTTATGGAAATAATGAAATAAATAAATTATTAAGCCGCAGGTGTTACATAGATCTAAGTATAAAATTCGTTTATAATTTTATAAAAACATATCAAAACATAACAAACAAACATACTTATAACGATAGAGAATTTTGCATTAAAAATTATAAACATCCCATAAGTATCATATAAATCGTAAGTGTACCCTGGTTTTAATGAACGCGTTTCATTATGATTGCCATTAGGCGTTCATAAAACTAATGCTTTTCTTATTAATATAGATGTTGAACTCTTAATGACGGTAAATTTTGTTTTAAAAACAGATGCAATCGCGGGTCAATACAAATCACTGTACAGATCGGAGGGTCGCAGAAACAAATACATATGCTCATAGTTGTTTTCGACAAAAATAAAAATATGGTTATAATATTAAATTTACTTTTTTTAATTTATCAATTTAAATTAATTTATTTGAAAAACCATAAAAATAAAATAATGTAGTTTCATCAGTACACCAAAAGAAAATTTACTTAATTGTAGTAGATTAAAAAAATGTCGCGGACCTCACAAACTTTGGACAGCCCTTAGATTATAAATATTGGTCAGTCTATTGAATGAGGTTAAGTTTATTTTAAATAAAGGAGCTATGGGGTTACACATATTATCGATTAAGTTAAGTTGTAGTAGTGTTTTGTTTAAGAAGAATTATTTCTAGTGTATGTTCTGTAAGAAAGCATTACTTGAGAAAAACTTCTGACTTAAATATGGTATAGCTATTTCCTTAATATGGAATGTAAACGGATAGAAGAAACTCTCACTTAAGATTAAAAAATTTTTGAAAATCTTTTTTGTTGAATATATTTGAAAAAAATTTTATCAAATTCCCTATTTGAACAATATGTAATAAAATTAAAAGTAGCTATATATATGATAAAAAAAATAATAAATATATTTAGATATAGATAATAAATAAAAAATTTTAAATATATATTAAGTTTATAAATTTAGTAGTCTAAATAAAAATGATAATTCAATGTTGATCGTAGTTTAAAAATTTTTGAAAAACAAATTTGACACCAATTTAAACTGAAAAGTTAAACTGCTGTAAAGACCAGTTTAATAATTTCAGTTAGTATGAGCTATAGGACGATAACACATTTATATACCATTATACGGACTACATGAATATATTAGAAATAGACGAGTTTACATTAGACAAGTAATACCCTAACATGTGACCATATCTGAATATAAGTTGAGTCTTGAAAATCATTTCTGCACCGACAAATAGCATTTCTTCCTAACAGATAATGGGTATAGATCTATTGAGAAGCAAAGTACAATATATTTATTATTTTGAAATAAATATTGAATCGATATGTAGAGCACATACCCGGATAGCGTTTTTTATTCTAAAAAATAACAGCAAAGATCATTGATAAGATGATTTCTAGTTCTACAAATAGAAGGCATTTGTGTCCATCTTGTGGAAGATTATGCATAAAGGTAGTGACATATGATCACGGAGTTGAGATATGTCTAAATATTATTCCGGTGCACTTCACAGAATATTAGTTCCCTATTGGAATATCAAAAGTCGCAATAAGTATATTGTCAGTAGTATTGTATGAATAGTCAACATATGTACCTTTAAAAACAATAATATAAAGCACATCAATATAATAAAGCACATCAAACTTATTACTTATTATTCCTTTTTCCTGTGAATAATTAGTCGCATTTCCATTATTGTCATCGCATTAGCTCTTGTTTTTATTCACAATCATTTAATTACACAATTAAAAACTTCAATTTGCTCTCCTACATAAGTCAAAATAAAATCCTTTTTAAAATATAAATACAATTTATTTTAATATTAACGCATGTATATTTGCATATTTGACTATAAAATTGACAAGTTCTAGAGTATTCGCAACATAATAATTTTGATCAGTCAGTTTTTAAATGAAACTGAAATTCCTTCTCTTTTCCGCTATGAGTAAATATGCGGACATAAGCCGACTTAAATCCATATTTCCAAATGGCCACGTACGGCAAATAATATACTATCAATTGGCTTAACCAGACTCGAAAATTTAAATAACAACGGACAATATTGTATTTATGGAAATATGTAACAACATGTAAACCATAACTGACTATTATACGATCCCACCAGTTCAAATCGTAGAAATATTTTTTTTGATCTGGATCTCGTTTTGTGCCAGGTTCCTGATCAAATTCATAATATTCATAGCCCTTTACGTAAGCTAAGCGTTTGGTGAAAAATAGAAATGAACCCACAGTTAGTGTGGTGTTAACTGGCCATAGACCTTCCAGTAATGCTTTAGTCATTTGCACAAATTCTTCGTTTGTGTTTTCTAAGGCCGGTACATAAACTTTCTGCCTTACGATATTTAAACGTTTTTTGGTTTCCGACCAATTTTCACCGCATATGTTATACTCATCTTTAATACCCAGTAAATAACCTAGAACACGCCACATATGCGAAGTGCACTCCAAAAATTCCTCATCATATAATTGTATACGTGGGGCACCAAGCGTTATGAAGCCAATAAAACCAAATTGTGTTAGTGCCAAGTCTTTTTGTGTGATCTGTCCACTACCAAGTTTAGTGCTAGCTTTACTCGAATGGCTATGAGCTTTTCGTACTGCGCGTAGACTAGTCCAAAATTTTGAGTTTTTAGAAGTGGGTGAATGATCGTACCAAGCGTTTGTGTGGAGAATGGTTCGCAAATAGCGTCGATAAGCCGTTGCTGGAGTTGATGATTGACGTGTGCAGATTAATATGCGTAGAATAGAAGGAATCGCTAGAACTGCAACTAGACCAGCTAGCATGCCGGAATGGAGCACAAAACGATATTTACTCATAAAGGTTTGTCCACTGGAAATATACAATAATATTGTGTAATCAATACTCTGGTATTCTCGCATAGAAATGATGATATGTTATGTTATTGTCATGTGTAATTGAAGAATTATTGATATGTGATTATGCAGAATTAATGTGCGTTTGTAATATCACTCAATTATTTATAAATTTTGAAAAGCTTTTAATTTTAATTTAGTTACCATCAGCATTCACCAAAAAAGCTAAAGGTATTTACTAGTATCACAAGAGTAAATATTTTATTTTGTTTTATTAATATGGCGTGATTGCAAGCTGCCTGGATTAGGTGTTTGTGTATATGTGGTGCAAATCTGATAGAGTTAGACTTCTTTATATTATTTGAATTCAACGCTGCTTTACTTTGATCTGTGATAACCTGTTAAAGCATTTTGGATATGCAACCTATGGTATTTTAGTTCCATGTACCAAATGGTACCAAAACTATGTGGGAGGAGTGGTGGTCTAACTAAAACCTCTTCTACTAAAACCTACAGTCAATAAGTATGCAATTTCGAATTACTGAAAATGGTGTAATAAGATTTTAAACAGTTCTGCTTGATTAGCATAGTCACTTTTAGTAAATAAACTATAGTCAAAAAAGGATAATACAGTTTACATGACACAATTAATTCCTAATAAGCAAATTCGTATAAGTTGGTTTCTGTAGAGAGTGTTTAAGGATAACGTCTGAGCTGAACTGAGGCATTCACGTCTGATTGTCAGATTTCACTGGATATTGCATATGGTAAGAAAACCTATATAAATATTCAAAATTTTAATTAATTTGCTTTAACGTCTTTTACTTTACTTTTACAATATTGTTCGCATTGTTCTTTAAAAACTTTTAGTTAGAAACACCGATTTAAGATTTCAAAAAAGTAGCTGTGTGAATCTTGTGATTGTGCAAAGAAATTAAACTTTATTTTTAAAGCAACTTTCTTTTTTATAAAAAACCTAAGGCTTCCCAATATAACATGGAACTAATTTATACGAGGGCGGTTTGATAAGTCAGTGACTTTTTAAATAAAACAAATTTTTTTCGGCAAATAAACATTTTATTTTTCTACATAATCACCTTTTAGCTCGATACATTTAGTCCAGCGTTTTTTTAATTTTTTTATTCCCTCCAAATAATAGGTTTTCTCAAAGCTCTCAAAGTACGCGTTTGTTTCGGTAATGACTTCTTCATTCGACTTACCGATCATTATTCCTAATTTTTGGATTCATTCACTATTACTTTCTTTTCTATTTGAAAAAAAATTTCTTGTCATAGAATATAAAAATGTTAACGAAATATTGATTTATTTTCTTCTCCAATAGTACTTTGCAATCCATTTGAGACTAAATTATTAATTAGACAGTTGGAAATTCGTTCAACTAAGGTGGAAAGATAGAGCTAATGTATAGGTTTGGCGCTAAATTCTTATTATATGCTTCAAAAATAATTATTATTATATGTCTTTTACTTTGCCACGCACAAATAACTCATACACTCTGCTTTTTATTTTTAAACGCTCAAATAATTATTATTTTTGTCTTAAAAATATAAAACTCAAAAATGACTATTACTTTTGAAAATAATAAATATAAAACTCAAAAATAACTATTATTTTTGAAAACAAAGTACATATAACTTGCATGTTTTATTGTTTAATTGTAAACAATTCTTGAATTGATTTTTGTTAATAGACTTTACAAGAGATTTTATGTGTGTTAGCCCTGGTAAGTTCTCAACTTACAGATAACACTGTTTCTTTTCTTCTTTTTAAATAAAAAACGGAAGAAATTACCATTTTCTCAGCCACATAATGATGTTGCGTGTACATCAACGAGGCTGTTACATTTTTGATATAGTTGTAAATAAACTTACAGAATGCCTCATAAAACTTTTTGTTTTTCCTCTACTTTTTAATTGAGTGAAAAGAAATTACTTTTTGCTAATGGGTAATAATGATATCAAGACTATATCAGAGAAACTTAAACTTTTTTGAAATTCAAGATTAATTAACTGAGTAATTAACTAAATTTTAAGTACATTCTTAAATTAATTTTATCGAATCTTATTGTTTTTAAGAAATTCAGATTTTGTTCCACTGTGCCTAACATGTTAAAGTGCAAGTCATGGGAAATATAATATAAAATGTATACTTGTCTTTGTTGGTATTATCTGTAATATAATGTATAAATATTTTATAAATATAGCTAAATTAAAAATTTTAGTGCAATTTATAATAAATGAAATTGAGTTTATTTTGTAATTCAATGTATCTCAGATTATGGTTTATATACATACGTATGTATGTATTACACATTATATACAATTGCTCACAGTAGAAATCAAGATTTAAAAAACTTGATTTTTAATTGCGACAAAATTGTTGTTTTATTTTTTATTATAGAAATAATTATTTTAATTTTTCTGCTCAGTATAAAATTTAAAAATTCATATAAGGTAAACATATAATTAGCGCTTACAGAAAATAAAGAAACTGCGTTTGTTTATCTAAAAATTGCGATTATAAAACTTTATTGATTGAAAGCAACACAAAAATTCTTTAAAAATTTTTTAATTAACATTTTTGTTGTAAGCACATATATTCCTCCAAAATGCACTTGTACGATTTTTGTTGTAAGCCACTGTACAAACTAATATGTGAAATTTGTTGCATACACTAATAGCGTTTTCGATTGACCTATCTGGGGTAATTTTTTTAATTGAGACGCTCATTTAATACAATTTCAGTGGAATTTTCATTTTTGATTGTTAAATCTGTAGAACACTAAAGATATTTTGCCAGATTAGCAATGTTATCCTGAAACTAGCACCAGTTTTATATGATTTGTCAGATAAACTGTTATTTGATTCGATATATGGATTTGTGAATAATATAAATGTCTAGTAACACGAATAAAAAAATGTTAGATTACTCTAAAAATGTTCGATTTGGCAACAAAATTTGACAGATCGAGAGTAAATCTAGATTGAATCCAGATTTAGCAATCGAAAATACCATAACAGCGTTAAGATGAGTTATCCATTGCAGATTGTATTTTTATACATTGATAATATATAAATAAATATATATGTACAATAAGGTAATTAAAGGGGATATTGAAGTTTAAAGACCACCATTGGAGTTTTTTTTAAATTAATTGTTGTCATTTGAATGTTGAATTAGTTTTTAAAAATTTCCCCTTAAATGTGTCTCTGTATACACCCTTGTGTCTTATGTAAATATGTACTATAGTAAGTACATGTATTATATGTATTATATTATATTATATAATTTGTAATATATATATTATTTGAACGTTGAATTAGTTTTTAAAAATTTCCCCTTAAATGTGTCTATGTATACACCCTTGTGTCTTATGTAAATATGTACTATAGTAAGTACATGTATTATATTAATATTAATAATAATATATAATTTGTAATATATATATTATTTGAACGTTGAATTAGTTTTTAAAAATTTCCCCTTAAATGTGTCTCTGTATACACCCTTGTGTCTTATGTAAATATGTAGTACATATTATGTACTATAGTAAGTATATGTAATATATTATATTATATATTTTATAATATATATATTATGTATATGTAATAATAATGTTTATAATATATGTATATTTACTATATTGAGATGGAATTTAGGATAGATTTGGATGCATTTGTTTAAGATTTATTTATATATTATTATAAGGTTATATTAAAATCTTTCTTTACTTTACTATTACTATAAAAAATTACTATAAAAAAATTAAATTAAAATTGTGAAATACTTATAAGGTTTGAAAATAAACGATTAATAAACGATTAATAAGATGAATCATTGAACTGTGCATTGAATAAATAAATTTCGAAAATTATTTATTAAAAAAGTAAAAGTGTAAAAGTGATAATAAAAATCTAAACAAAATTTATTTAATAAAATCACACTTTTTGTTTTTGTTTTTTTACATAAAAAGTGATTTTCTATTAAGTAATGTTTATTATATATACATATATACACACATATTGATATATAAATGAATGTAGTGATTACACTTACCGTATGAATAGTTGTTCATTGTACCATGGCGGCATTTCCATCTCTGCACCGCTGTCGCCTTCATTGCAACCATCGTTTAATAAATGATTTAAGTAAGCTTCTGCTTCTGCGTCTGCATCCTCTTCTTGTTCAGTATGTGGTTCCTCTTTACATTCCTGTTCAAGCATTATTCACAATTTTTATAGGATTATTGTAAGCTGAATAAAAAACTGAAAAAACTGCTTCTATTAACACAATTATTAATATATTTTTATTTTTTAAATTTATTTAATTGCATACTAAATATATTTTAAAAATAATAATCTCTTCATATATTTAATGCCCAAAATTACGTTAAGTAACGAGAAAACAAAAATATTTGAACACACATACATCCGCAAACGGTAAAACGAAAGTTTTGGAATGTTAGACTGCACCCGTTATTTAATTTGCACATACCCCACATGAACTATTTGCATTAGTTGCTGCAGTTTTATTACATAAATAATTTAAGCACTAAACTAAATAAGTTATTTAAATAAATTTTATGAAATGGAAACTGTTTTTTTTTACTTATTAATCAGCGGCTCAATACACCTGATTCGGTTTGGAGCCAAAACAAAAATGACAACCGAAATGATTTTTGTTTGAAGAAAAAGCTGAGAGAAAGTGCAAAAAACAAATATAAATTAATTTGGAAATACCCAGTAGAGTAATTTCTAAGTGATGAATGCACATAACACGACACGCATAATGTCCCACAATAACAAAAAACTGTGTTTGATTCGATTTCACAAAAATAATCAGAAAAAATGTAAAAAATTGTCTAAATAAATTCAACTTAATATTTAAGGTTTAACTTTATTTGTTTAATATCTAACGAAATGTTCCTCTTATGTTTTAAATTATAATTAAAATTACTTGTATCCATAAAAACCTTGGAGCCAAAACAAAAATGAAAACTGTTTGGGTTTTCATTCCAAGAGTAGATGAGAGAACGCACAGAAAAAATAAACTCAAATGAATTTGGAAGGTGAGCAATGTGTATTATGTAACCCAGTAGAGTAAATTTTAAATGATGTTTACACATTAGTGGTAACAAAGCTCTGTCTACATGGACATATTAAAATGTTTAGAGCATTTTAAAGATTAAACCTAATTCTGGAATACGTTAAGGTACATCCACACCAAAGCGGTACGCTTACAGATACCATTACCTGGGAATGTTCATTCGTTCGCAAGGATTCGCTTTGGTATGGATGCACCTTTGAAAGCCATTGATTTTTGCTAAATTTCAAAAAATTTGGAAAGACTACCAAAATTTTGGGTGAAATGTTTGTATGTTCATATACTTTTGGAGATAAAAAATAGAAACCGATAATTATTGATATAGAAGAAATTGAAGAGGTAGCGCAAATATTTAGGTTAACACCCGAGTCCTCTTGAATTCGGTCCCTGCGCTTGGTTTCATTAACGACAATATCATGCGATATTATTCGATATTATACATCAACTTGTTTATCTAAAAAAGTCTCATTTTATTCTATTGTAGCCATCGACATTCTCATTTATCACAGCAAGCTTGATTTCAATTCGAATATATTGACAATACAAAATTTTGGAAAATTTTAGTTATAAAATTATTTTTCCAGAAGAAGTTTCTAGTTTCCTGCTTAAGGAAATAAACACAACACAATAAATAATTTTCAAATAAAAATATAACCTCTATGTTTACAGTTTCACTAAAGTAAGAATACCGTTTCAAGCACAGATACCACGCTATACTATAAACACGTGTATATAAAAAAACATGCCTTTATTATAAAATAAATATGTAACTTATTTGTGTTAATTCAAATAGAGAAAATTCATGCAAATATTATGGATTTACATATTTTATATGCAAAGCGACTGCATTCGAACTAAAGCGCAGAAAACACAAAGATTTATTGCTCTAACTCTTACTCTATTTATGCACATATGACAAATGATTTGTGTTAAAGCAGGCTTATACTATTGTAAATAATTGGACAAATATGTATCAATAAAATTGTTACCATACGTAGATGTAGGTTGAGAAAATTTTCTACTGGGTTTGTGCAAACTACAATCACATAGTAAAAAAATACAAAAAGAACAAGTGCCATCATTATGGTTGCCAGCACATATATTTTTGTCATATTGTCCCAAATTCGAATAAGAAACAACACATATATATCTTCTAAATAAAAGAAAAAAAATATTTTGGATTTATATACATTTAAGCTACATCACAATTAAAAATGAAATAGCCTAATAAAATAAAAAAAGAAAACAATGTTTTTTTTAAATAAAAACAATAAAAATGTTAAAATGTTCCTGTTAACATACATCTTCTACTCAATTCACACGAGAATTTTGTTTGTAATTTTAACTCTCAGTAATTTCAAACTGACATTTGAAAAAAAGCTAAAAAAAGTAAAAAAAACGATAATTTGAAAATCCTTAAATAAAATCATACTAGGTCGTGTGCGAATTCGAGTAAATTGATGGTAAATTGAGGGAAATAGTAAATTATGTCGGTATGGCAGCGAATGTTGGTATTAACCAGAATTTCGAGTAAAGTAAATTAGATAAAAATTAGTTAAATTAGGTGTGACCATTGTGAAAAATTTTAAGATGTTTAATAAATATATGAATGAATTTAAAAACTTTTAACCAAAAATAATAAATAAGTGCAATAAATAAATAAAAATAAGTATTTACATAAGTACAGCGTAAAAAATCCTAAGAAAATTTAATTTACTTTATCTCAATTTACTCAAACTCGCACATGACCTTAGTATAAATACTTAATTAATTATACAATAAAAAAGTTATATATTAGAAAACATTGATATTAATAAATAAAGAATAAAAGATAGTTTAAATGTTTACTAAAAATACTTAATTAATTACATATGTAAATGTAAAAATAATATATAAAAAAATGTAGTACATCAAAATTCAATAAAATAATATACACGGTGGTGTCTTAAAATATTTCGTACTATGTTATATAAAACACGATTTTTAATTAATTTGCTTTAAAACTTTTATTTTTTTATATATTTTTAGCTAATATTTAAATAGTTTAATGCAATAACACTAAAACTACAAAATGCATCTTAATTTATGTTAACATTATAACATTGAATTTTTTTTAATAAAATATTTTCTTCTCATATATAAATATTTTTTTTTGTTTTGTAATTCTTATTTATTTTCATATATTTTCAAATATTTTTGTTTGTTAGTATTTTAACAATAAATTTGAATATTAATACGAAATAAAAAGTGTTCAACTATATGCACTCTTATCTCAATATTAACATAGATTAAATTATCTAATATTTTTTTTATATTAAATTATTTTATTATAAACCATTTGTGTATAATTTTAATACAATTTTAATTTTGAATATTTAATGCAGTTATTTTTAATAATCTTTTGACTAAAGTACAACATTATTTATAGCTGCCTGCAAAAGCTTGTAAACTCGCTGTTATTGCAATGATCATTATAACTATTTACAATTTAATATGTAATTCAGTTTAATTTAATTTGATTTTATAAAATTCAATTTTATATATCTGGCAAGTAATTTTATTTTGAAAATTCAAAATATAAAACAATTACTATAACCCGGTATAAGACGTAGTTTTTTTTTTGAGTAAATAAATAATGCTGAAGTAATCAAAAAAGAAAAAAAATTGTTTACATATAATTAAAAATTAAAAAGAATTTTAATTTGAACAAAAAAAAAATTTTATTTGATTATTAATAACCATTGTATAGGTTTGAATTTCTATTGCGCTGATATTTAAATAAGTAAATTAAAATTAAATATTGTTTTAGTTTCAAAACTATATTCTATAAACCGGATCATAATTTAGTTATTTACAATAACTGTATATATCGATATAAGTAGTTATTTATTAAAAATTATATGTATTATAAGATTCAATAAATTTTATAATAGTAATGCATTTTGAAGTACATTGTTTATATGTTTTTAATTCATTTTCAAAAATGTTTATTGATGAACAGTATCTTTCATGCTATCACTATCATCATTTTAGTCACAGTTCTAAAAATCATTAATAACAAAACTATAAAATGAAGTATGTATTAAATTAAATAAATGTTAAATTAAATTTTTAAAAATAAAAATAGTTTAGATTTTCAAAATATTTTACCTAATAGCCTATAAAAAACTTTTACAGTAAAAAAAACTATGTAATAATTACAAATTCTTTATTTCGCTCTGACATAAAAGTAAAAACTTAAGTAATTCTATTAACGTTAAATTTGCTAAAGATTTATAGTAAAATAAAAAAGTAATTTGAGTATTTAAAATATGCATGCGTAAATTTAAAAATTATTTTCTATATTAAAAAAAAACTATTTTAATTTAAAACATATAATATCAAAAAATTACACAATTTATGTTCTTACAATATAATAAGTTTGATAAATTTTTCTAAGTAATTTTTGGCTTATAATTTCCGCTTTTAACTTATGAAAAGTTTATAAATATTTAAATTATATATATTGAAGGCCAACCTAAAATTGATTATGAAAAAACAGTCTTATAAAAAGTAAATACTTAAATTATATAAATTATATATTGTATAATAAACCATATATTATGTAAATTATTATTATTAAAATTACTTTTAAATTATATTAATTATATATTAAAACGATATTGAGAGCGAGTATGTTTACATCATGCAATTGTAGTTATTATCATTAATTTATAAATAATATTTAATAAAATTTTATTAAAATTCTTGGAATAATTTAAATTTTGTAAAACATTTTAATCACGATTTTATTGTTTTTTTATTGATTTTAAAATGTATTTGAGCATTAATTGATTTCATTTAATGTATTTTTGGAAATAAATGTTATTACAAAAAACTTGTATGGTATATGGTAAAGCTATGGGGATTATTTTAACAAAAATAAATATATCTTTAGATCGAAATAAGAGTATAATGCATTGCTTTAACTTTTGTATAACATCAGTATACCACATTTGTTGTAGAGAATTAAAGACTATTAGGTTTAGAAAGAAATATTTTAAGTGTACTGTATTAATTTGTAATTCAATTCATATTCTATATATATTCTATATTAAAATTATTGTACTTAGATAAATCTCATGGAACATTGCTTAAAAATGTTTAATTATACATTATACACTGTCAAAAATTATAGGAAAATATTTTTCCATGTCAATATATGTATAATATAATGTAATAATCTATTATATTTGTTTAATGAAAAATAATTTTTTTTTTAATTTCAATAATTTTAAATTTCAAGACTTCTAATATTTTAAAGTAAAATTTATCGAGTGTATAGTAGATAATTTATAGTATAAGGTACTACTAGACAGATTTCTGTTACTAATTTAGTTATTACATCAATAATTATAAAATAATTATACTAATTTCAATGAGCAATGCAGAATTGTTTGTACAAAAGTACCTTAGAATTAGCATACTTATAATTATAAGTATATACTTCGAAGATTTTTTTTTAGATGAAAATAGCAAGACCACAGTTACACAGATGTAAACATACAACACTGGGATAAGAGTGAACTATTCTTTACAACTTTCAATTTTAGTTATGAAGACAATTTCTCAATTATACATAAATGAGCAAGAGAACATAAGTTTTCGTTAAGATATGCTAAAGATATGTGCATTCTACAGAGTAAATGTTAAGTTTCTAAGATATTTCATAAAATAATTTAAAATGCTAATATTTAACTATTAGTTTTAGCTGTAGTCATAACTCCAGCTGTACTGGATATAGTTGTTTGACTCATGTCTTCATTCCGTTGTTTATGCTGCTGTTGTAGATTTGAACGTTTTCTGTTTCCGATATTTTGAGTACGTTGAGATTGAGATGTTGTGGAATTTATAGAAGTGTTGACAGGGAAGATTTGTTGAAAGGTTTGTGGTTGTTGTTCATTGTTTATTTGTTCGTGAAATCGATTACGACGTAATGTTACTATTTTATTATCAAAATGATTATTATAAACGTCATCATTATTTTGATTGTGATGTCTGAATTGCTGATAACGGTAGTGTTGTTGATGATTATATTTTTGTTTCCAGGGTTTACGTTTTAGATTTGTATTGCTTGACCATCTAAAATATAAACTATATAATAAATATACATAAAACATTAATAAATTTATATACTTCGATAGTTTCCTTCTTTTCGAATGCGCACCATCATAATCCATTTGACTTGATACAAAGCTAGGTGAAATTGCACTACCTATTAGAAAAAAAGTATTTGTTTTAAATTAAATAAATAGTATAAAAATAAATATTGTTAGCCAAGAATACAAAATATAAGAAAACCATTAAATAATTTTATTTGGACAAGGAATTGTATAATTTTTTTGATACATGAAAGTTTTATGAAGTTATATATTATCTTTAAGCATTTTAGGAATCTTGAATAGAAAACGGTAGTTCTAATAGCAGGTGGGTGAACGACACCTACTTAGTTGTTATCAGCAACCGATTATCACTCACTACTCTTATTGGACGTAACGATATGATGTCATTTAGCTGTTTAAGTGCGTTATAGTACGCATAAACTAGTGTCGAATTATGTTGTAGCTCAATTCCATTGAATTAGCAAGATTCCACTGCCATAACCCGAACTAGAGTTGATATCCACCTATTCCCTATAACATAAATGATATTCTATTATATATTATAACATTGTGCAGTTATGAAATCCGTTTTTGTTTCTGCTTGACAGATTAAAAACTTCAATTAGTGTTACACTGTCCGCGATGAGGATGAATCAAGTGAACTTTCTTAGGAATGAAAAGATTTTTTGTTTTTATAACAAAGTTATAAAATACTTCTATTTCCATAGAAGAGTTATTGCTTATTTACTTTGTAAACATAAACAATATATTTCAATATGAATATTAATATTAAATAATGATATTCGTGTGTAATCAAATACGTCTCTCATTTGTTTAAGATACCTTATTTCGAAATATTAATTTTTTCGAAAACTATTCGCCACAATGTTTCGATATATTATTACTTTACATATTCAATTATGTTTCCTTATTATAAAATAAAAATATAATATTTCTTCTCTGCAATTTTTAAGAATATACACGACTTTCTTTACCAATCTTTCTATATTTAACCATTTATCCTAATTATCTCCGCTTACATACATAACATGATGTGTTCTTTAACAGAAGCTTCTTGACTAATAAAAGGCATAATGAAAGCACAAACCTTCATTTGTCTTAGAAATTTTTAAAGACCTGATTTGAAAAATACTCTTTTACTTAGTTTTCTAGTTCTTGATTTAGCAACTTACTATATCTCCGTTTAGAATTACGGTGTAATACATTTGTAACATTAGTGGCAAGGCTAAGATTATTTTGGCGTTTAAGTGTACAAGATTTTCCACGGCAAGTTCTTAATTTTTCCAATTCATCATGCATAAAAGCTTTCTCTTCCATGGTTAGTGAGGATGCACTATTAATAGTTTCAAATGGATCTATAATTTTAATTCAAAAATACATTAGTTACATAAAAATAAAACTTGTTAATAATAATCAGTTACCAATTTTTAGATCATAAAATGTAATGAGACCCGTTGTGAATTCACAATATAAATAATTATGCGTCGCATTAATTGTACGCAAGCATGAATATGTATTATTATTAGCATTCATACAAAAACAGAATGGACTATCGTTCCAGAGAGGTGCTGTTCGCCAATGTGTATTATCATGAGAGAAACAATTCATTTTCTCCGATAGACATTCCTTTTCTAAACGGGCCTTCTTAATCCGTTTACGTTCTTTCTTACGTTGTCGTTCTTCCTTAAGCTTACGTCGAGCTTCTCTTGCAATTTCCTTGGAATCAGCGTAACTAAAATTGAACAAATAATGGTTAAATAAATAATTTAGAAAAATTAAGTAATGTGGATTCTAATTTTAAAGTATTATATTTAAGAAATGATAGAAAAATTAGTAATTAATTAACTTTTATCATTTTTCTAATGAAGAAGTTTTATAGGGAGTAAGGTAATACTGAACTGTGTCTATAAAAGTCTAGGCGTAACTATCGAAGGCCTAACTAAAATTGAGAGATACTGAAACTTCATCAAATGAACTTTTAGTAATCTTAACGAAGTACATTCTGATTATTATATAATTTATAATCTATGTACAATAAATACTTCGAATAAAACATGGAAAAGATCGAGTTCTAAGTTAATTGTTTCCATCCTTTTAGTGCTGCGATAAGAACATAGCTTAGAAAACTTTTTTATACAGATATATACAGATAGCTGATGGAATGTTTTGGTTCCATTATCAATAGACACTTTCAGTCTCTTCAGGTATCCTTTTATTATTATTGGGATTTCAGTAGGCTCGAACATAATATTATTTGAGAAGAAAGCATATTGATAAAACCATTGAAAACTAATATAGTCTAATGCCAGTTGCAACCATTGCACTAAATAATTACTAATAACGATCCAGCATATTTTTCCACAGATTTTCAGGCAGATATACATTCCATTGAAATCAATATTTAAAAGTAGCAACATTATTGTATATACAAGTAGTCATACAGCTATAAAATCAATCAGATCTTTTACGACTAAATTCGAATTAGTTCCAATCTGCGAAAACTTCATATTAATTCAAGCTAATATAAATCAGCTGACATCCGTTTGGATTAAGGAATTTAACAAAGCCCCTGACAATGTTAGTATTACAAAATATTGGATATATACTATATATTATCAGTGTTTACAGAGAGGTGTGTAAAATGCCTAGGCCAACTCGAGTTAATGAACATACTCACTTTAACTACTGCTTTTTAAAGATTAAATCAAACGCCGCTGACACGTCTACAGCTTGTGAAATGCAGAGTAAAATATCAACTAAATTTCTCCACTCGTGTCTTGCGACCATAAAAAAATGTCCTGAATCTGATATTTATAAAATTGAAATAGGACTGAAAACTATAATCAAGGGTTAGGGTTATACGATTTTTAAATAGCCTTAATATAAATAGCCTCAGAACAGATGTGTTGAAACATAATGATCTATGTCAAGACTATTGAATCTATCGAAAATCTAAAAAGATTTTTTTATATACATTAATTATATTATTAAAATTATTATTAATATTATTATTATTTGTGTTCTGCGACTATCAGTAAACGACGACAGCACGTAAATCGTTGCTTGCTCACCTTTCTATTTCTGGTTCACAATAACATTCCGCAGTTCCGGAATATTGAGGTTTTTGTTGTTGGAACGGATCACTGGGTGGTGCCAAACCAATACCATTGAAATTTTCTTTATTAATATCTTTAATATTGCTTGTTGTAGTTTCAATTCTTGTGCGCTTTGTTGTTGTAGAATGGCGAATAGGTGTGGAAATATCTAAAAAGAATTAATTAAAATATTTGATCTAATATTACAAATAAATAGCTCACGTTCAGTTGTTGTTGTTAAACTGTCATTATTGGCAGCAATTGCTACTGTCGTTGTAAATTCAATTGTTTCCATGGTTGTTTTGTCCAGCGTAATGTTATGTATCTCATCCAGGTTTTTATTTTTAGCTATAAGAGTGCTATTATTGTTGCTGTCGACATTAACATAACTGTTGCTTTCTGTAGCTGCCATTGTTGTTGTAGTATTAACCGCAAAAGTTGTTGTTGTTCTTACTGTTGTTGTTATTGTTGGCAAAGCAGTTTTTGGCACTTGCATTCGTTCACGCTCTTGTCCATTTCGACCCAAATTATGATTTTTTCCTCTACCATGAGCAGCATTTTCTAAATTTCCTCTTCCGTTTCCTGTAACGTTTACATTTTCATTTCCGATTTCACTAACATTTTCATTGGCTATTTTATTATGGTCCGTTTGTACTTGAGTAAGGAGTTGTCCTTGAGCAAAGTAATTCATATCGAATTCGCGTTCCTCATCAGCATCAAAACGTCGTCGTCCATTAGTGTGTGTACGATGATGTTTGCGATTATTATTAAAATGCTGCTGCTGCATATTAAAGTTATGTGAGTTGGCATTCCCAGTGAGACCAGTAGTATGCATACTATTGACATTGCCGCCTCGCCTGCGGTTCCCCTTGTGCTGGCGTGCTAAATAATCTTCTTCGGTAACATCAAAATGCTCGTGCACATTCATATTTTCTTTTGCATTGGCACTGGCTGCATTATTATCAGCCTTTGCAAACTCATTATTCCAAAAGCGTCCAAGCTGCAATTGCTGCTGTTTGGTCTCTCGCATTTGTTTTTTGATGTCCTTTAAGTGTGTTATTTGCTCTTTAAGCATTTTGATTAGCATATCAATTTGATTGCGTGACTTTCGCCAAGTCTTCTCGTCGTCATATATAACATCGGAACAGTTTACTTTTCCAGTTTGTGATTCAATAAAGCAACGCGTTCCAACGCGTCCACCAACTTTTGGAAATTTGCTGCCACGGACAAACCCAGATGCAGATAGTACTGTAGTCACATTTTTAGTATGCATATCGTGCTCAATAAATTTTGATTCCAGCGACTCTAAAGTATGTTGAATTTCTTGTATAATTTTAGAAATAGCTTCATTCTTGGTTGAATTCTTATTGTTTACACCCTTGCCACCAGTATCAAGTGCAGTGGGAATTTCGAATAAATTAGAGCTAAGATCCCGTTTGCGACGCACTTGGTTCTGAGCTTCAGTAGCTTCATTCTCCATGTGGTTTCCCAGCAGAGAAATGGTGTTATGTATATCTAGTAATTCTTCCATTTCATAAGGCAATTCTGTATGATATACTTCTGCCAAAATTTGTGTCTCTGTTTCACGTTTATGTCGACGAGTAAATTTGGAAAAGTTATGAGTTCTAAAATAACAAAAAATTATGTATAGGATATATAATAAGGAGAAATAATAAAAATTTTACCTCTTCCTAATACGCTGCCCATCTACAATATTGCGATTGGTTTTCATCTTGGTGTAGACAACACCATCTGGTGTGAAGCAAGCACAATTACGCCTTTGTGGTTTGGATAATTTGGTTAATTCCGCTAAGTGATGCTGTAACTGTAACTAAAATAAAAAAAAAAATAAATTGTATAGATATTTGAAAGTTTTACTATATGTTGTATCTAAATATAAGCTGCTTACATGAAAACTTACATGAAATTTGCATTTATGTTTTCGCCAACGTCCACCTTCATTAACACATTTCCATTTCTGATCGGGTCGACAGTTTTCCAGTAGAGCTGGATTCGAGCATTCAGAATTAAGACGCATCATTTTTGTCATATATGGTGCCATAGGCAAATTATTATCGAATTGATCTTGCTGCTCTTGATCAGTTTCATCATCAATAATTTCTTCATCTTGTTCTTCCTCTAAATTATCTAACGAACTGTCTAAGTCTTCATCATCATCATCTAAGTCATCATCAAAATCATCATCTGTTTCATTTCCATCATCTATTTTTGAATCTACAAATAAATATTTTAATGAATAAATAAGATTTGTAATATTTTGGATTTATTGATTACCTGTATCCTTTTCCACAAATTCATCTTCCTCGTGTGACTCTAAGCTTACCACATCAATTTTAGGATTCATTGTAGTACTACTTATATTACTAATATTTTGTGCTAAATCTTCAAGTAAGGTGCTATTCGCTAACTTCGAACTTATGCGTTCAGCTTGTAATCGTGCACGTGACTCTGCAATTTGTTCAGGTGTTTCCCTACGACCAGAGCTTTCAATTAAAAATGTATCTGGCCATTGTTCGCTGATACCAGGTTGTGTATTTAAAAGTAATGGCAGTATGCTACGTCCATCCATATGGCCGGGTGCTGTTAATCCACCCATATCTAAGAATGTGGGGGCCAAGTCTACATTTAATACTATTTCATCGACTCTACATTTATGTAGTAATAATAATAATAAGAATTAATTACAATTTTTGAAGATGTACTTTTAAAACTTACACTCTAGATGGTTGTATTCCAGGTCCACGAATTAAGAACGGAACTCGTACATCAAATTCAAAAGGAAAGCTTTTACCTTTTATAAGGCCGAACTGACCCAAATGATAACCGTGGTCAGACGTATATATGATATAAGTATTATCCAATTCTCCTAAAGATTTTAATTCATTATAAACACGTTCTACTGCAACATCTACACTTTGCAGAGTTTGCAAACGTTTTGTCATAAGTATGTTGGTGAAACGTTTATGTACCGGTTCCATAGGCTGTGTTACGCGTAAAATCCATTGCTTGTCTGGATTCGGTGCATGATCATATGAGGGAGTACTATTTGTTAAAACAATAGGTATATATATAAGTTTTTAACTATATTTGTTTTAATATCACAAAAAACACACTAATGTAAATACTGTAAAAAATTGAGTAAATCCGTATATCGGCGTAAATGTTTAAGAAAAACTTTTAGAGCTTGAGAGTTGTTTCTACCCTGTAATTTTCAAGTACATAGTGCCATTATTTAAGGCTTTTATGAGTTTTTGAAAATAAACCTCTATTAGTTTTTTATTACATTATCAATACACACTGTTTATGTTTATGTCTAAGAATTTTATGTTTGGGTTTAATATAAGATAATTTGTCAGTTCTCTAATAAAACTACTGCCAACGGTTAATATATATGAGAATAAAGAATAAATTTTTAAAATGAATAAGATTTTGATTTTACTAAATTGACATGTTAGCCCATATATTATTATTAGCACGTTCTGTCTGAAACAGTTCTAAGAGGGTTATCAAGTAAATATTTTGATATTAATAAAAACGTCTAATTTTGGAATTTATGAACTTTACTAAAGACTTTAACAAATACTGATATCAAATTTTAATTCAACTTTTTAATTTATTTGGAATATTTAGACGAGTGCTCAACCTGAATAACACTTCCTCAAATATATGCATATTTATAAAGTTTAGAGAAGAGTACACTATATACGTCTCTGTTCAAGAACTTCCGGTTTTTGGAAGTTCGATTATAAATCAAATCGTGTGCTATTAAACACTACGACCACACTAATTTTATTATTTCTCTTAATGACAAGTATACACATGAATAGAGATTGATTTACTTAAATTTAAAAGTAAAACTTACTTAAATTTTACTTTAAATTTAATGAACGGTTTAATTGACAAAATATAACAATTTACGAACAAGGTCTTGAGTTTCCAAATATCGGCTAAGATTTTGGTCTTTTTTTTAATAACTTGAATTGTTGTAATTTAAATATTATAGACCAGGGCTCTCCAACCATATTCGATCCCGAGCGAATATAAATCACTATATAATTTGGAGGACCGCAGAAACAAAAATAAAAATACGGCAATAATATTATATTTAATTTTATTAATTTATTTATATTAATTCATTGGTTTGGGATACCATTAAAGTGAAATAATGCAATTTCACCAAAATAAACCAAAGGAAAATTAACATAATAGTGGTAGATTGGAAACATGTCGCGGACCTAACAAATACAAGGCGCGGGCCGCATAAGGGCCGGGGGTCGTGCTTTGAACAGCTCTATTATAGACAATTTAACAGAGATATTATAAATTATGAACATATCAAAATAAGAAATAATAAATGAAATAATTTGGTAAAAAAGCAAAACTTTAAAATATCTTAAAATATAACTTACTGATGCGTGGTAACATTGAAAAATAAGTGACTATATTGTGGTGCTGAGTCTTCTGGTCCATGCGGTGCAGGAAAACTCATTGTTAACATCACAGGTTTTCTTTGGTTTAGGGTTTTTGATGTACGCAAAAATGCAATAGAATCATTGGCTATTAGATCAGGATAATAATCCTATAATAAACAAATTGATTAAATTTTAGATAAATAATAGAAAATAGAAACAATAATAGAAAATAAAAGATAATTATAGAAATGCATCTATGTAGAAATAAATACTAAATAAAATATAAAAGTATGAAATGTATAATATATATTAAAAATAAAAAATATTTTTATAAAATTTTTTAACATAATAACATTGCCCTTTGCCCTTACTATTATTACCCTAAAATTGAAAATTTATTCCTATTTAATATAGCATTTTCAATATACAGTCAAACTTTCAAAACTCGAACTTCTATAACTCGAATTTTCTATAACTCGAATCAAAAACGGTGCACCAAGGTTTTAGAGAGCAAATTACATACAATTCTGCTTCCATAACTCGAACTTATATAACTCGAATTTCTCTATAACTCCGATAGGAATAGGAATATAGGAAAGTATAAATATATTTTGCTGTTAGGGGAAGTCCCTTTTTCCAAATCAAATGTTTAATTTTTTCTTTGTTATGTTGCTTATTTGTGGTTTAAAGTCAATAAAATAACTTTCAAAGCTACTCTTAACGATTATATTGAGCTTGAGAATGAAATTTGTACATCAAGCTTTCCTACAGATGACAATATTATTGAGCACTATAGCTCTAAATTACTGGATCCAATTCTAAGCGCAACAGAAAGTGATGATGAGGGTTCCTTGGATGTAATTGTTTATCAGTCTTCCAAGAATGAAGTAGAAGACTCATTCAATATTCTGAATTTATATTTGCAAACGAATGATACTACAACTGATGATCACTATAAGGCTTTAAATAAAATGGAATGTCTTTTTACTGAAAATAACAAAAAAAAAAAAAAAAAATTTAAAATCAAACACTAATTTCTAATTATTTTACTATACTATAACTTCTGTGCTGTATTTGATTTTAAATAAATAAAAAAATATCTAAAAATATAATTCTAGTTTCTTTCAAAAATAAAAAAAGAAAATAAAAAAATTCTCTAACTCGAAGTCTCCATTAGTCGAACCTTTTCTTTGCAAAATTAGACTGAGTTATGGAAGTTTTATTGTATTTAGATATTTTGAAATGTTAAATAAATGTAAAAAAGAAAAAAATTGCTCTAATTTTATATATTAAAGAAGGAGTTTAGGGTCTCATTCAACACGATTTCTTACAAAACGAAATTTTTTACGGACGCATGTTATAGGCACGGTAATTATAATATTACTTCAGATTTTGCCACTGTTTGTTTGGCGCCGTTTTCTTATTTTAAATATCTAAAAAGGTTTCTTCTTTTTTCTGCAATAATATATAAGGTATTGTTTATTATATAGGCGAGAAAAATTCATATCTAACTTTTTACTTTATCTAGCATAAAAATATGCAATAGGATTAGAATTATATTTAACAGATACATTTTTTCTGCTTCCAAAATATGCAATAAAAATTATATTTAAAACTGGAAGTTTTTTTAAATGTAAAAAGTTATAAAATAATAAATTATGTACTATATTGTTGTATATGATTTAATTATTTATATATAATATATGTAAGCAATCAAGTAGTAGTCGGTCAGGCAGTAGCGGTGGTTAAGAAGTGTTAATATAAATAAATATTAGCTTAAAATCATTTGATTAAAATCATAATCATTAAAAATAAAAAAATTATTAATATTGATGCAAGTTTATCTTTTATATGGACCTTCTGATCAAAAAAGAACGAGACCTATTTTTGAATTTCCGCGCTTATCCAATCGGTAAATTTTTTTTATTTTTACGCTGGCAACACTATTATACACATTCTGTCAAAGTTTAACGCATATCGTACGATTAGATTTTGTTTGGCGTCTATACAAAAAGTCGAACAATTTCCGTGTGGCGATTTTTATAATGGATCAAAAATTAGAACAACGTGCGTGCATCATATTTTGTGTTGCAAATGGATTCAAGTGTGCCGAAACATTGAAAATGTTAAAAAAGGTCTTTGGTGATTTGGGTGTATCGCATTCACGAATATACAAATAGTTTAAAAGGTTCAAAGACGGTCGTACAAGCTTGGACTATGATGAGATGATGAGATCCCTGGCTGCCCAACAACTTCTGTTACTGAAGAAAACATTGAATCGGCGAAGCAGATCGTGTTGGAAAATCGTTGTGAACCGATTAAAGAGATTGTAATGTTGTTGGGCATCTCATATGGATCGGCCGAACACATTTTAACTGATGTTTTGGGTTTAAAACGCGTCGCTTCTTGGATGGTGGCAAAAAAGCTGAATTTCATTAAAAAAAGCGTTGTTGTGCAGTTTTTGACCAAAAACTCTACCAATATCATCAACCAAACACCGTACTCTCCAGATATGGCCCCGTGTGACTTTTTCCTCTTCCCCTGACTCAAATTTCCATTGCGAGGAACGCGTTTTGACACCATAGAGGCCATAAGGTAAAAATCGCCACACGAAATTTTTTCGACTTCGTTGTATAGACGCCAAAAAAAAAAACTAATCGTACGATATGCGTGAAACTTTGACAGAATGTGTATAATAGTGTTGCCAGCGTGAAAATAAAAAAAAATTACCGATTGGATAAGCGCGGGAATTCAAAAATTAAAAATTTAAGTTCTTTTTTTGATCATAAGGTATATGTAATATATTTAATAATATATAATCATCAGGATACTGAAGATGACTATATAAAAGTGAATTATTTAACTATTACTCCATTAACCCGTGTAAAAACAAAATTATTATTAAAAATGTTTTGATCATTAAAACAATAAATTATTATAGATATATACTTATTTTTTATGCAGAATCATAAATCAATCTCACCTTGGCATAGTCGAAACCATGTTTAATTTTCTGACCATTCATATTCACACTATAATTGTAGTATTTGGAGTTCATAATTAGACCACCCCATTCACGCCAGCCGGGCGGTATATACGAGCCATTATATTTATTTAGGTACTTTCCGAAATAACCGGTACGGTATCCAGCATTCGAGAGGTATGTTGCAAAGGAGCGAGTTTCGTGCGTAGCCTGCCATTGTGGACTGGAACAATTGTCATTGTTCGTAAAGACCATATGATTGTGTACATACATGCCGGTGAGCAGTGACGAACGTGCCGGACAACACATTGGTGTGGTAGTATAGGCATGACGAAATTCGGCGCCACCATCGCGCAATATACGCAACGTGCGTGGCATAAAATTTAATGAGCCCAATTCCACGTCTTGGTCATCAGTAAGAATCAAAATGATATTTGGTTTACGTTCACGTGCCATGTTGGAATCACGTGAATATCGTCTATAATTGGAGGCTGTGTTGCTAGCGCCTTGTGATGTTCTAGCGGATGCTGCAAAAGTACGTTGATGTTGATGCTGATTTTGATGTTGTGACTGATGGTTCTGTGGATGGTGCTGATGATGTTGCTGTGGTGTATCTTGCGGTAGTGGTATATGGTGCTGTTGACGTTGGCGCTTCGGTTGTTTGTTTTGTTGTTGTTGTTTTTGCTGCTTTTGCTGTTCTTGATGTTTTTTTGTTTTATTTTGATGTTGGACATCACTTATTGACACTGGTGGCTGCGATAAGTCGCTGATTTGTATGCGCTGCGATTGTGCATTTGCACGTCGCTCAGCACGTTTCTCTTTGCTATGTCGCAGTTGACGTTCATGGTGATGCTGATGCTGATGCTGATGGCGACTATGATGTGGCAAAACATCGTGTGTGCTACTTATAATTGTTGGTAGATTATCTTTGGCCGCTGCTGTGCTCAGCAATAAATTGAGCATAAATGCAATGGATATGCAAGCAATTAAAAGAATTTGTTGCATCTTATCTGCTAACATTTTTATTTAATACGTTGCAAAATAATTTCACTAATTTAAATATATAATTTCTATCACAGTTCCATTGGAGCAATATAGATTTGAGTGCCTCTCCCTCCGGCTGCTGCTAGTGATGCTACTGTTCTTACGTTGTTTCGTTTTCGCTTATTTTGGATATTATCCAAAATTATGGTCAAGTGTAGTGTATTATTGGTTACGTCATGCTGACTAAGCACATGGCAAAATAAATTTTAATCAAATCGTAATCTTAATAGCAGCATTCTCTACGCTGGTATGTTGGTATGTTAAGCCCTGCTGAAAAAGAGAAAATAATAAAAGTTTTATAAAAGCAAATCCATCATAACTTACTAACAGCTAAAAAGTGTGTTAAAAAGTCATCAAAAGCTTTACAAATATTTAACAAAAGCATAAATATGTAAAGATTGAGTTTTTCACGGTCATCAATCATTTCGATGACTTAACATATTAAAATGCTACCATTCATGTTCCTATTAAAGCAAGCACAGTATTCAATGGCAAATAATCTAAAATACACAACCCTTTCGATTGATGGGAGGACAGCTATTTACGAGCGACAAACTATGCCATTTAAGTTTGATATTTTTTCACATATAAATAGCTAACGAAAGGAACAAAGTAATTTCACTCAAGCTCACAAACTCCTGCTCAACAAAGGAAGAAGGACGCCGCATGAAACCCACGTTTCCGCACATCTAAACTTGACCTTCGCACCAGATTTGCGCAGATTTCAAAGTTTATTGAAATTCTATTTTGCCAATTTTTTCTTTATTAATATTTGTAGTTTGTATGGTGTTCGGTTCTGCACGTGTTCGGTTAGGACATTATAGGAACTTTTAAGTTAGGCATCAATTTTATTGCTTATAGTATAGACCACCAAGATATTCATGAAACTAATTTAAATTCTTGATATAAGTATTTTTTTTTATATATAGAGAAGGATTCGATATGAATAGAAGATAATGACTTATACTAATTAAGTTCAATATCTCCATCAGATTATTGCTATTTGAATTATAGAATAAAGAAAAAGTTTGTTTTAATGCAAACTGGTGAATTAATTCATATTATTCGAATACAGTCAGAAGTAGAGTGAACTTCTTAGGTAATTATGTCATTAGCTCTCTCACAGAAGTCTGTAGTGCTAAAATTCAAATCATTCTGAGTCTTATAAAGCAATCGAAATGATTCCATATTTAACTGAAAATCAAAGTAAAATTTAATTAACTTATATAGTTAAGATCCCATTTTGTCGACCTTATACCGCATTAAGTGAAATGGAGTCAAAGAAGACAAAGGCGTCGTCTTAAATAATGGTATCAGAATGACTGATAGGATTTAAGTGGATTATTCGATTGAACTGACTGCCACAATAAACTAATATTACCCATTTATTCAAATAAGTTAATATTGGAATTATTTGGCAAATTCGATCAGTTCGATTTGGTCGTAATAGTTTCGATAGTCCCAACTACATGTAATGTCAATTTTGCACTAGTTAATTTTGCACCAATAATGCAAAGATCGGAATTTTTGGACTATTTAACTAAGATTTGTCTATATGAGGACTAATCTAAGAGTTTTGTATGTGAACAGGACTATTAAATATATCAAATTTAAAATAGTGAATATGATTCGAATTAAAATAATTTGATTTAAAAATAAGGGAGAGAGTAGAGTTGGAACAAATACTAAATGATTTTGATATGTATTCACTTCTTTAACAATTGTACTTTTATAAACAATGTTTATATAGGGGTGTATATTACTATGTTCTCCTCGGTGTCTGTCACCTTAACGTAATGAGGAGGCCTCGTAGTTACATAGTTACTTCCTTGCCGGTAACTTCCAATGAGGCGTAAATAAAGCCAAGCGCAGTCCATAACGTAGTGTTGGTACTCATAATGAGCGGCTACAAAAGACGTCTGTTGTGCAGGTTAAGAGCAACCTATTTAAAAGTGACCTGTCACTACGTACAAAGCTTACAGGACTGACATTGCGCTTTTAACCCATTGTCAGGGCTTTGCTCTCTACTTTAATTATTTTCTAGAAATAAAACAGGAGTCTAAACCCGATGGAATTACAGTCTCCAAGTGGAACACGTACATATACGGCGAATCCACCTGCTTCGACAGCAAGAACAACGGATTTGGAGGTGCGAAACTCACGTTTAAACAGAATCTCTTCGTTAACCACAATGGGATGAAGTATATAACTATTACAGCATATAAAGTTTTTTAAAATAATTACTGAATGTACGAATATTATGTACAAACATATCTTTGTTTGCGTGATTGGACATAATGCGATATAACAATGTTTAGCATATATTATTTAGTAAAGAACATAGCAATTTTGAACTGTTGGCAGATTGGTTGTGGTCAATCAAGGTATATTAAAATTAACTGAACCTAAATTAAAGTAAGAAGAACTGGTAGAAATGATGTTACTTATTCGCTTGAACTTTTAATACCAAAATTCTTAAGAACTTAGGTTCTTAAGTTGGCTTGCAATATTAAAGCAATATTTCAAAATAAAAAACTTATTCCTCTGGGGAAATTATTTCATGCCTATAAGTTATCTCATCTATTAGGGACACATTTACACTTAATAGGTCAGCTTAATTTTACTGTAGTGTGTAATAATCCTTTCTCTTTCAATTTCAAATCAAATTTTGTGGTTTCGAAAGAATAGAATCTGAAGCCAAAATAGATTTTTTCAAGTATTTTCCCTTTCCATTGCATTTCTATTTTTTTTATTGTCTGCCTTTAAACTATTCTCAGCCTGGGTCCATTTTAACAAGAAAAGCTAGCAGCTAATTTAAGTTTTCAGTGCAAAAATATTCTATGGAGAAATCTAACATAGTATGTAAAAGAAAAACAAAACACGGAAAAAGAAATCAGAAAAAGATAAAAAATAAACAAAAGAAATGAAAAGCAATTCAACATTTCACAGACACTTGAAAAGTTTATAAATTGGCAGAGAATAAGGAAACAGTGTTGATTTACACTGACAAAGAAAATCAAAAGAAATGAAGCGCTAAAAAGTAAATTCAAGAAATAATTTTTAAATTCTGATAAGAAAAAAAACTATGCAAAGAAAAAAATAATAACAAACGTCTTTTTCCTTAAAGTGCACTTAATTTAGTAGTAAAGCTCACTTAACAGACCTTAGTGAGGCTAATATAAGAGTCAATGTGGAAATTGTTGCCGGTTCTCCAAAGATTATTTATGCCAGTGCGCCCAAAGGATAATTTAATCATTTAGAACAAGTTTACTTTTTATGTGGATAGGGAATAAAACAAGTTTTGTATTGCATTGAGAACGAAAGAAAAAAGAAGCAACAATAGCGTCATTGAAATACAAGACAGTCGTACGAGAAGTAAAGGCTTATTGTTACTCGTAGACGTCTTTTTGGTTAGTCCTATACGACTATTTGTGGCTGTATCTCCACAATTGTGACAGTAAACACAAGTTTGTCTCTTTACATTACTATTTTATTTTTTTTTCAGCACAGTTAGCTGGCACTTTGGCTATTATTTCTTTCAATGATAATATTTAAACTAAGTTGTGCATTATTTTGTAATTAATGCAAAATTAAATTTTACTAAATTGGGATATAATACGATAACAAATATTTTTACTAAAACAGAATAATAAAATAAAATAGTATATAAATTAAATAGATAAATGGAATTTTATCAAATGGAATAATATAAATTATCAAACATATTAGTAAATAATGGCATTTAGTCAATTGAAAGAGTGAGAATGATATATCAGTGTCATATGCCTTACCTACAACCAAGCAATCATAATACTATTGAATCAAATGCTTTTTATAGATATAATTGAATGTAGAATATGAATTGTACATTATTTAATTCTTTTATTTCTAACGAGTAAGGTCTACATAAATGACAGGTCCACATCTTTGTTTAATTTGAGTGGCTCACAATAAATCAAATTAAAATCATGAAAAATGCTTTTCATAGGTATTATAAAATGAAACATTACTTATTTATAGAATATTTATATACAATATTGAAATACAGCATTGTCGCGTTAACTATCTTCCATCCCAAACCACTCCGTCTAGGAATAGAAATCAGTCAAAATTGGATTAAGCTACATCGTACAGTTTTAAATTGATTGGAACTTAATTGAAATCAACAAATTTCGTCAGTTTTAGTAAATGTGATAAGATTAGAGTTTCATGTAATATTGTCGCAGGCTTTTTTGCTTAACAACATATTAATCCCACCTATAAAATACTTTGGGACTATGACATTTATGCATTATTAAAATTGATGATTTATTGAAGGTTTGTTCTAATTATACAAGAATGATGGACGTTGAGCGGTTTGTTCGCAACGTTCATGTTATTGTTTTTATTTTTGAAGATTGTAGGAAAAAATAGATATATTTTACTGCTTTGTAGTTTCAATTTGGCATCATCAAGAGAGTATGCAAAGTTTATCCACAAAATAGACAACCTCTTCGCTTATAACTAACTCGGAATGATATCCTGTGATCATTACGACAGATTATATTGCAATTCGGAAAAGTTTTTTTTTTAGACAAAATATATACCAAAATATATAAAAATTATATATATAAAAAAAACAAATGGATCAATAAAAAAGAAATAATTGACAGTGTAGAAAAAGTTATTGTGGATAACCAGTTGGCTTATAATTGATTATGAACCTAATCATATGATAATTATGCGGGCTATTTACCGGTTACCAAAATCAATTGTTAGTAGGAGCAGTTGGTTTTTGGCTTGGGATTGATATCAAAAGAGGCGAATATGTAATTATTGGTTAAAAAAGTGATGGCAACAATTTTTTGGTATATGTGTAGAATAATTCAAACTGATTTTAAGAAATTTGTAAATTGGTAACACACCTCTACTTTAACAGTTTTTTAAAATTTTGTTTCCAGTTCGCAAAGTTGGTTAAATTTGGAAAGTTCTTCAATTTTCAAATGGCTGTTTTAATGATGAAGTCACCGTTAAAATAAATGCTTTAACAAAATCCTTTTATTTTATTAACGAACAAAACATTAAAGAATAATTGTATGTAATGGAGCATAAAAATTAAAATAAAATAAAAGTTTAAAAAAAAATAATAAACTTTTATTAAGGTGCGCTGATTCTGAGCTTCATATTTGGCAGGACCCGAGTTCGATTCCTGGTACTTGCAGTCTCAAAAATAATTACGAATAATTAAATATAAGAATTATTTCCAAGACCACTGATGAAGGGTATTTGGC